AAATGAATACCGTAGTTATATTTGCGAAAATGTGTTTGTGAAGGTAAATTTTTTAAATTTTTTTCTCAAACAAACTATTACCCACAAAAATGTCACTTATAAACACCCCCCCACGATTTATCATATATTTTCTTTTTTAACTGCAGTATTTATCCTCAAGCACACTATATCTCACAAGATCACCACCTTATACCTTATACTCTTTTAAGTTATAAGAGTTTATGTTTAAGCACATACAGTTTTAACTTCCAACTTTTATGAATCTAAAAGTTCACACACATTCCCACACACCAATCTGGCGAGATGACGCACATTTTATGATTCGCCCAATAATTCGACCCTGACCCAGGCACACATTTGGGGGGCAATTGCTTGAATTGGGAGAGCCTCACCCGCGGCGCCGGGCGCCACTCAGACCCGGTTTGATCATGACACCCGGGCTCACTCCGAGGATCAATGATATTTTGATTCATTGATCATTTAACTTGTTTAACTCACTATCCAAATGAGTGGACACAGTTTGTCGTGATTCATTCCTAAGTGAACTGAAAGCAAACAAATACATTCACTGGAATGTACCTGGTTATGGAAAGATTATTAAGTACCTATATAATTTGTTTGGGTAACTGAATGAATTCTGTTTGCACCTAAAAATATGGAGGTTGCTGGTTTGATTCCAAATTAAATTGTTATTTGGATTTCAATGAATGATGCTATCTAACAAAATGATGACTTAGTAACAAAACCAGATGCTGGGTCAAGAAATTACATTGAAAACCCCATAAATAACCATAAGATCGCTCAAAAACAAGTTGTGACAAAAGTAGAAGAGACTTAGCACTATAAGAGGTACAAGGAACCTTTTACAAAGTTGGTAGCCTAATTTATAACCAATGAAAATTAAGAGGTCTGATTCGAAATATTTACCCAGTATTGAGTAACAGTAAGAGAATTTAAATTAACATTTTAATTTACATTTATGACAATGACCAAAGGTCCAAACGCTGATATTGTTACTACCTAAGTCCGCTTATTAGTAGATAGCAATAGCATCATTGAAAAACTACGTGAGTATAATGTTTGCCTATTAAGCTATTAATCAGAAGGTCGCGAGTTTTATCCTGACAAAAGCCAGAAGCTTTTTGGTGGTTAAAAATGTACCCAGTTGCATGTACCAGGGTGTGTGGTGCACCGCCCTGGGCTGCAAACAGCTTTGGCCTCAGTTAGAAAAAGACCTTTCATCTCATTCATAAAACACTCATTCTTCATTCTTTTTCACCCCAAAAAATGCACCATACAATTTAATTTTAAAAATCTTACCAAATCAGAATGCCAGGTTTCTTCTTGTTTTTCCATTTCATCCACAGATAAAATCCTTGTTCTTTGAGCATTTTTTGTCTTTTCATCAGAAACTAGCTTTGCCTAATGAAAACCACTTGAAATGTTATTAAAACAATATAAAGATGCAGTTTTTATACTCTCCTACAAAACAAACAATTATAGTAAGGTATGTGCTACTTAAACCCAACAGCAGTTCATTGTGTTAAATATGATACAACTTGGTAAAGGCTAACTTAAGCTTATTGAAATTATTCAGAAGTTTTCTATTCAAATTTGAATAATTTTACTAAGGTACCTAGTTAAACTATAGATTAACCAACACAAAGGCTATAACCAACTTGGTAAAGGCTAAGCTTATTGAAATTATTCAGAAGTTTTCTATTCAAATTTGAATAATTTTATTAAGGTACCTAGTTAAACTATAGACTAACCAACACAAGGTAGTACCTATGTTTTATCTATGGTTAGACCACCTCATTCAAAATAATTAAACCCTAAAAAAATGTTATGTACTCACAATGAACCAGTATTTAAAGTATTTGATTGCTTGATAATACAGTTCAATCTAAAAAATCAATCATAAACTCATTTCAGTAAACACCACATAATCACTCACTCTAGACAAAATAACAAATCCTCCAGTTTCAACATGAAAGAAAATAATCAACTATAAAATCAGCTGATATAGTGTATTTCACTGCCACCTGTATACATAATATCCCATTATAGCTTACAGGTTTGCTAACCCAAAACACTTAATTAATAAGTCATTTGGCCAATTAATAATCCATAGTAATACTATATAACATGAGAACATAACAATACTAAATAAGATAACTGCTGCAATAATTTACAGAAGTTATATTAACTCCTGTGTATTAATTAACATTGTTGATTGATTTAAAATAAGACAATGCTAGTGTTAAGTAAAATCATAGACTAACCAACACAAGTAGACTTCTCATCCCATTGTAAATTTTGAAGCACGTTTTTCGTGTCTAGTTCATGTACGTGACACATGGGCGCTAGTGTCGACGAAACTTTGTTTCTATTATTTCAGGGTTAATTTCTTGATTTGTGCTTTACTGTTTGGTTATATAACTAGGGGACAAGTTATTGTTTATGGTTAGATCGTATTATTTGGCTAAACGAGGTTTTAAATGGCTGTAATAATGGGAAACAAATTGTAAACAAAACACGACCTCTACAGAAAACCGTACAGAACTAACAATAAAATTGTCTTCAGCTGTTCCATAAGGATGAGAAATCTAGTTTTATCTATGGTAAAATTTAAATATGATTAGTAATAAATCAGCTGTTCTGTATATCCAAATTAAAATGTTGGTGATGTTTTGTGTTTTCTACCTATCAAATAATGTCCTGTGATGCAGAATTACACAAATATTTATTTCAAATACAACATTACTTTGAGCAGGGTTAGAAACTGACCAATGATAAAACACTGTTGACCATTGTTGATTTCTTGTTGTTGATGCTTTTTAATCTTAGCCAGAAGCCATTTGCGAAGCTGTGGAACATGAATCACTGGTTTATAGGACTTCTGACATCATGGACAAAAATAGTGGGCTGCTCAACAGGCCCATTTTGATGGACCACACTCACACAAGTAAATTTGGAAATGTACACATTTGCACAAAAACCCTCGTTAAAAAATGGACAGTGTAAATTGTAACTAACATAAATTATTATTCACTACAGCTTGAATAAAAGAAACTTCACCAAATTACTATTATATGAGAATAGTCAATGCTAACCAAATTAATTATACCTTTTAGTCTGTATAAAGGGATTATAAAGTAGTAATCAGCTGATTCATATTAATTTAACAAAAATAACTAACTACTAAAGAGTTTGGTTTACAGGATCAACATTAATGCTCTTTCCTGACCAATATAAGTAAGTTCTCAATATAAGAAGGTAAGTAAAATGTCTATTGATAGTAAATATTTAAGTTATTAGTCTATTGGGATGAAGTGAATATACCTTTACTACCTCTATTTTACTTCCTTTCATTTTACTTCCTTTATTTTATTGTACAAACAAGTTTTTTGTTTGTTTAAATATTACCTATGTTTAAACAGACCTTACTGTGATGTTCAGTACCTATAGCTTTAATTTGTGGCTATTGTATTTTACAGAGTAGGAAACTAAAAGAGCTGGATTGGGAGTCTCCAACATAATAATAATTAATTACTTTTAGTCTTAGCTTATATATGGTTCATCATACATTACTAAGTTTTTACCTACAAGATTGACTAAATACCTCCGTCGCAGCAAACCTGCAGACTAAGCAAATTTCTATTTATCAGGCTGGATTTCTACTAAATTATTCCCTTAAAATTGGCAGATTTATTTCCTATTTAAATAACAATAATTTTTAAGAGTACCTACTTAGGTTTGCTGCCACAAGGAAGGTATTGAGGTTTTTTTTATAAAAATGTTGATAGCTTAGAATGAAATAAACAACATTGACAAAATTTATCAAAATATATCCATAAACAAGCAAACTACAAAAGTGTTTTTATTCTCCATAAGAATATGAGCGATAGGGGACATAATCCAATGTTGTTAAGCTTTTCTGGCAATAAATCATGAGAGACCATACCAAAGAAGACTCCAGACACAGATGCTACTTTGTCTTAATGCCTTCACAACCCTATTGATTAATGAAAACATTGCATTGACAGTAGACCCACCTGCTTGGGGCACTAAAGTTTTTTTGCGGTTTATAAAAAAAAGTCAACAACTTATTAAAGATGTCTTTTCAATCACTTTGGAAATGTTATTAAAATAGGTTGAAAATTATTTAGATCTTGAACAAACTGCCTTTTTTGTGTAGGTACTGGCTTTACAATAGGTAGATAATTTTATTGCGTCTGGAAAACTCTCGTTTGAAAGGAGTTATGATAGGTCCTAATAATCAAAAGGATATACCAAAAATCCACAACAGGACTTCAGAAGCTTTGATGACACACTATCACAGCCTACCAATAGTTTTTTTTCAAGGACTTGATTATTCCTACTACCTCCTTCTTGCTTACGGGTGTTGGTACACGTTTGTACCAAATTTCATCAAAGTCGGTTCAATTCTGCTAGAGTTATCGTGCTAATGGACATATATATATAATACATGTATATAATGAATTTGAAGAGAGGGTGTTTTGGCCTTTGGGGACCTCAAAACGAAAAAGTAAATCGGTCCCGGGTCAAGGTCTTACCATGAGACCTACGGCAATAGGCTATCTTAGGCTATTCATTCCCTTTATGGGAAATTTGCTAAAATCATCAATAAATGTACATTGGTACAAGGTTTATTTTCAAAGGTAGGCTACACTATTTTAGAATCCTAATTTACACTCATTCTCATGTGAGAATCGATTCCAGGTTCCAGACATAGCCTACAAGGTGGGAAAACTAGTTGAAATAATTGTCATAACATTGAATTGTTGCCACAACAAACTCACATCCTTTTAACCCTAATCTAATTTTGATCTGGGTTAATGTGTGAGAAAGTTAACAAACCGCTAATCAATTTTTCTCATTTGCTGATTCTATTCCACTGCCTCCTCTTTCCGTTTCCTTCCACAAGTGTGAGTACACTACAAAATAAAAATATTCTTATTCTTTCCAGCCCAGCAATGGCACACACCTCACATGGCAAGCACGATGATGATGTTACCAAGACGTTTCTGAGTGCACTGAGCACTACTCGGGAGATCCGACAACCCATCGAGGTGCGAGAAGGTCGTAAACCACTGCCCAGAACTGCAGATGAGTACGAGATTGTCTACAACCCCGAGACTGATAAGGACCATCCTTACGAGAAGTGGAGGCGTAATCCTATTCTCAGTAAGTATAGTCAATTTACAAAAGTTGACAAATTTTCTATGATAATAATTTCAGGATGATGTATAAATTTGGTTTGGTTAAAGCAATAAGTTACAAGTATCCCTGCCGCAGCAAGCCTGCAGACTAAGCGAATTTCCATTTGAAGACTGATTGGATTTACACTGAAATGTCTACTTAAAAATATAACATTTATTCCATATTTAAATAGAATTAGTTTAACAAGTACTTAGGTTTGCTGCATCAAGGAGGGTAAAACTGTTTTTTTTTTATGTTAATAGTTAGTAAGAAATAAAAACATTTTCCAAATTTGATCAAAATATGTTCATAAACAAGCAAACTACAACAGTTTACTTACTCTCCATAAGAATAACATGGGAATTTTAAATTTACTATTTTTTGGAATTTTCTCCGTAACCATTAGGCGCATAACAACGCTTCAATATACTAAATTATTTGTTTTTTTTAAGCTCTACAAAATGGTTTGGAAAGAAATTGCTAAATTTTATGTTTTTTGGGCCAAAATGGGAAAAACCTATTTTTACCCCATAAAACCCCCCTAAACCCCCGTTTCCATGGCCCAATCATGCTGGATTGCGAACTCGTTTGAATAAACGTAGGTTTACACGTTTGTACCAAACTTCATCAAAATCGGATCATTTTTGCTCAAGTTATCGTGCTAACGGACACACACATGACATACGGTATATATATAATACATTTTCAACACACATATACATTTGTAATACATTTGTTTATATATATACAGTATATATATATATATATATACAGGGTACAAAAAAGTCTGCAAACGGCTTAATATCTTTTTAACTAAATCCGTTAGAAAATTCAAACCTTTCACATCAACTTACATGTATGAAAACTACTTTTTCCAAGGATTAACATTTTTTTACCTCTACCAGGGGACGACCCATGAGGAGTATGTACATAATCTTTAATGTAAGCATAGGTTGATATGCACATCATTTTAAAGTGCAAGTCAAGTGGAGTTCATTGCCGGAAACCGCGTCTCAAAAGGTTTATCCATTACAAAATAGCGGCTGTCAAAAGTTATTGTGGAATATACCTGCACAGGCCTTAGTATTGGTAAATACTCGTATTAAACATTAGGTTGAGAGCTGACATTGTATTTTTAAGTCAACTAGCTCATAGACTAATATTATTCAATCTTAAAAACAAATTTAACCAGGTTTTGGATTTCCCGGCTAATGTTGTCTATGAGTATTTACCAATAGTAAGACCTCTGCAGGTGTATTCCGCAAGAACTTTGGACTGCCGCCATTTTGTAACGCATGAACCTTTTTTGACGCAGTTTCCGGCAATGGACTCCACTTGACTTGCACTTTAAAATGACGTGCATATCAACCTATGCTTACATTAAAGATTATGTACCTACTCCTCATGGGCCGTCCCCTGGCGAAGGTCAAAAAATGGTAATGCTTGAAAACGTCAGTTTTCATACGTATAAGTTGATGTGAAAAGTTTGGATTTTATAACGAATTTAGTTAAAAAGATATCAAACCGTTTCCAGACTTTTTTGTCACCCTGTATATATATATATATATATATATATATATGAATTTGAACCGATGGTGTTTATGGCCTCTAGGGACCTCAAAACAAAACAAAAATCGGTCCCGCGTCCAGGTCTTACCATGAGTACCTATAATAGCTTATTCCCTATATGGGAAATTTGCTAAAAAGACATTAAGTAGGGTACGGTAGTTTTACTACCATAAGTAAGTAGGGAATTACTACCAGTCAACTTTTTATATAGTCTACCGGAAATCCTGTTATCCAATAACTCCCCAATCCCAAATTAAGCTATTTAAATGCTAGAAGATGATCTAACAATGTTCTTGAATCTTTACTGCAGGACTTAGATAAATTACTATTACATTTACATGTGAACAAAACCTCTGAATGAAATGTTTTCACAACACTCATTTTGAGGTGGAAAACGGTTGACCAGTGGACTTATGAAATATTTCTCTTCAGTTGAAGAGAAAAGTTAAAGTTTAAACAGTTTTAGAGTTATATAAATATTGTTAGCTTGAGTTTCTTGTTTTTTAGAAACTGTTCATACAAAAACTGATGATAGTAATTTTGACGTTTTTTGATGTGCAAACAATTGATGAAGGGAAGGAAATTAGCAGAAGATTAGAGGGTAGTTTATGGAGTGGATTGTTCCCATTTTATTGTAACTTACAACTAAATCAATACCTACTTCAATTTATAAAAATCAATCACACTATTTACATCCAATAAAAAACTCACACACAAAAATAAAAACTCTTACAATCAACTGTAAAATAAGAAAAGTAATAAGCAAGATGTAATAAATAAAAAAGTGATAGGAAAGGTAGCCGAAATAGGAAATTGGTGCTGTACCTATGACTAAAGAAAATTTTAAATGATAAAAATAATAAAATAAGTTGATGTTCTGCAGGATGCCTCGTGACCCGAGAGATAGCCAGATACCTAGACAGGAGGACTTTCATCACCGTGTCTGTCCGGGAGGCGATCATATACTGCATCTTCCTCATACTGATCACTATCAGTGAGTAATATCATAAACTAAATATGTAGATCTATCATCGCAATTGATGATTACGTAAAGAAAATGTTTATCCATCTTTTTTTTATTAGTTTTCCAATAAAACAAAACGTTTTATTTACAAATGCTCACTAGGCTACCAGCATGATAAAGTTATAACCATCAGAGTTTAAAGACCATAATTATCAAACTGTTTAATTAATTATAATTCCAAAACCAAAATATTTACTGTTTAGCACAACAAAACTCTTTTACTACCGATAACTATTAAGTTGTCAATTTAGTATTAGTATAAAATACAGGGAACAGTATTTAGTTGAAGGTTCAGTGACAAAGAATTTAATGAAAACTGCAATAAGATAGAAGTAATGGAACTAAATAAAGAAAAAGTTTATGGGCTGGTTGTTATATTATTTTTGCACTAGTAAAAGTATAACTGAAGGTTGCAGTGTGAAAAAGAACCCATATTTCTTTCTCAACATTTCACATTTTAGGACACAAACATTCAGTGCAACTGTTTTATTTATTCGAAACATCAGTTTCCAATACTACTTTACCAAACAAATGCATTTTACCGACATTCCAATCTTCAGTAACTGATATCAAAATGTGTTTGTTTTCAGTCACGTTTGGCTCGACACCACTGGACATGTTTTATTTCTCTCAAGCGATGGCGACTCTTTACACTAAACAGAAGTTCCCGGTGGAGATGTCTCGTGATGAGGATCCAATATCAATCGACTTTTACCAAATCAACACTCTTGAACATATTTGGTTTGTAAGTGTCAGTCAGATTCTATTGCGTATGCACAATAACAATTGTTGAGAGTTCTGAGGCGTTAAAGATTAATTTTCATTTTTATTTTTTTTACATCGCATGATTAAGTCTTTGAGTTGAAACTACAAATCATGTAAAAAAAATATATAGGCTACTAAGAACATTGACATATCAATTGATTAACCACTCAGAATTATGACTTTGTTTGTTTTAGTATCAGAACGCCATCCTTGATAAATTATTTCATAGCTTCTGGTACACCAAACCAGACCCGTACGCAAGTCCTGAGAACACGCAAGAGTATTTTTACGAGAACAAACTTATAGGTTCACCTCAGATAAGGCAGGTGAGTATAAACATCTTTTTGCCCCACTTCACAGTTAGGTAGCAGCCAGTTTCTGTACTGTACTCATTTCAGACTAGAAAAAGAAAGTTGTTGTTTACAGAAAGGGGTTTAAGATAGTTTTTGTTAAATTTGCTGGTCAGTTTTGCAATAGGCTGATACTGATACCTCTCCCAACACACAACATTTCTACCTCCCCTGCACATACTAGACTCTTCCACCGCTACACTGCAGATATTTTGTTAGTCTGAATCACTTCGACTGATGAGTGACGACCGCCATTGCGGAGAGTATTGTACTGATTAACAAGTTAATGTATCATGGAAGATGCATTACAATCTAGATATTACTATAAAATTTCACATGAATTTGGTTTAAAGATCTCAAATTTGAACTAAAAATTGATTAGAATTTAATCAAAGAGAGACTAACTTAAGATTAATAAATTTTAAACTGAGTATGTTAAAAAAAAGAATGCTTATATTGTCAGCAAACAAATATTGTAATACTTGTTTCAGATAAGAGTGAAAAATTCAACCTGTAGCACAGTGGATGCCATGAAACACATGATACAAACATGTTACGGACCATATACAGAGGGCAATGAGGAAAAGGGCCAAATTGGACTTATAACTTCAGCTACGGCAAAACAGAAGTAAATATTCAACATAAAAACTTTAAAAAGTCTGTTGAAATGGACAAAGTATGTTGAAAGTTGATTTTTTTTTTAGAAAACCAGAAAGCTTTTGTACAGTAGTTGAGTTAGTTTATTGTATTGGCTCAGAAAGGGTAGAGCCTTAACTAAGTTATCAAAAAAGATATCTTATAGTCCACTGAGTAGTACCTTTGGATATGTTTTTGGTTAAATCCCTATTTTTCTTTATGTATTTAGTATGAATTGCTCATTGTAATATCTGATACCACCTTATTTGAAAAAATTCCACAAGTGGTTTTGCAATTTCAATTTCACTACAGCATATGAAATGAAATGAATGAAATGAAATGAAATGAAATGAAATGAAATGAAATGAATGAAATGAAATGAAATGAAATGTTTATTCGTCACATAAGTTTACAAGATTGTGATTTTCACATATAAACATATGACATGTCAATACCACTTTACAATCTAATAATACCTTATGCTAAATTCTTTGTTTTTATCAATCTATAAAACCTAAAGCTAAGTTTTTATAAAATCATCTAGGGAATAAGGACACAAGAGAATGAGATAAGATTTTAGTTTTCTTTTAAAGGATGACATATTTTCTTCAGTTTTAATTTGATCTGGGAGGTTATTGTAAATTTTCCTACCCATGTACCATGGCGATCCTTCATACAGAGCTGTTCTATGCACAGGATATTGAAGATCATTCCTGTGTCGGGTGTTATATTGATGAGTGTAATTTTTCAACATAAATTCCTTATAATTTCTTTTTACAAAGATGCACAGTTGAAAAATATAAACTGCATAAATTGTCAAGAGTTTCATCTGAATAAAAAGGGGGCGGCAAGAGGATTGTGGTCTGGTATCAGCTAAAATTCTAACGGCAATTTTTTGTAAGATAAAAATATTCTTGGTAATGGGGGAGCTGCCCCATGAGATAATACCATAGGAAGACCTAGACATAAAATAAGAATGATACACAGCAAGACACATATCTTTGTCACAGCTTGGAATGGAACTCGCCAGACAAGACAGGTTCAATGTCTATCTCCGGATCGCTAGCCACCTACAGTGGAGGCGGTTACGTCGCGATTCTCTCTCGGCACGGTGACGACGCCACGCAGTTGCTGCTACAACTAAAGAGTCTCAAGTGGTATGACCGAGCGACTCGCGCGTTGTTCATAGAGTTCACCATCTACAATGGCAACGTCAACTTGTTTTGTATTTTCAAGTAAGGATGATCTAGTAGATATCTATTGTATCCAATATTTGATTTCCAGAATTTTTAGTTAATTACCAGAACTGAAATCTAGTGGGAGCTTGATACTCAACCTACTTTCTTCCACGGTCAATCTAATTACCTTTAATCCATTTGTATCTGGTCCACAGTTTGTATGTGATGGGTCCGATCCGAGAGATAATTGCACCCCTCCCTTCTTTCTGTGGGTGCACTTTTTTCTCACAGCGGTGGCATTTTGTCTTTCTCGCACGCAACAAACTTAAATTCTCATCATTGGTAATAAATCTCAATAAAATGAAACTAAAGCAATTGAACAAATGAAGCATAAGTATTTGTTTGAGCATTTTTCATGAAATATTTTATAACTTACAAATGTCTCCTTATTGTACCTATAAAAACTGTTGTGTACTTGACAATCATGCAATCGGCTGAAGAACCAGGACCGAAGTCAGGATTATTATGTCATTTATAGAGATGTTGCGGACACTCTTCATCACTGATTCAATTATAAACAAAATTTCCAGAAGATGATACAGTTTACTTCTGAAATGCTATTCGCTTAGTCTAGATAAGCTTTTATAAATTCAGTTTAATGCTTGTACACTCTGTTCTCAGGCTCATTTTTGAAATGCCTCCAACCGGGGGTGTTATACCCAATCATTGGAATTATGTACAAAAGCTGATTCGCTATAATGATTCCTACGATTTCTTCGTTCTTGGATGTGAAGTAGTGTTTACGATATTTTTCTTCTTCTTCACCCTTCAAAAACTACTGGAAATCAAAACACTCAAGAGTAAGGTTTTCCGAACATTTTGGAACTACATCGACCTAATGGTTCTTATTGTAAGTGTATACTTTTATAACTACGGAGAGTAAATAAAAATATGTCTAATAACACTTGAAACATAAATTTACACTTATACTGCTTTAGCAAAATGGCAAATTAAAAGATAAATGGTAGTGATGATCGATTTTGATTGGACACTCCAATCATCATCAGACCCAATAGGCAAATTGACTGGTCTCTTGAAGACTTCATGAATGACACATCTGACCATCAAAGATGGTTTGACAATTTAATTAGGTAATTAAAAAAGTTATAACATTTATTTCATAATACAAATAATTTCCTAAACTAGATTTTTTTTTCTAATTCAGAATGAGTGTCGGGTATAAATTAAATTAAATGTGTCAACTAAGTACTAAGTTGTATTTTTTTTCAATTATCAATTATTTAAGATGGGGACGCCCCTATGTGCGTATTTTAACCCAAATATGAGTGAAGGATGAGTGTAGGATGAGTGGCGCGATCTTGTAGTCTTGTTAGTGACTAAGGCCGACATGTTCCTTAGACACAGCTGTTAATTAATAGCCCATACAGCTAATGGCAACTAAGGGACTGATCTTTTATCTCCACTGATGAAAAATACATACGTATATTAAACAGGAAAATATTAATATTTTGGGATGTAAATTGAATTACATTGAATTTTTTGGATGTAAATAATTTAGGAGAAACTTACAGAATTTATATATTTTCCAGATGTGCTACATGACTTTGATTTTCAACATATTGCTGTATGTTTCTGTAAATGATCAACTTCCAAAATTGGTGGATCCTTTGAATGAGAAGAACTACGCCAGCTTTGATTTCCTATGTAACATGCACATTCTCTACAGCTATTCCTTCGCTATTCTCCTTGCCTTTGCTTTCTTGAGACTTCTCAAGTATCTCAACATTGTCCACGCCATGTACCAACTACAGTCCATGATCTCAAGGGTAAGTTGTTGTGTTGTTTACACACTAGAATATAAAACTTCCTGTAGGCCTATAAGAGATAATGAAATTGTTTTGAAGTTCTTTTTCAGTTTTATATTGAATCTGACCAGTTTTACACATGCATTGACTTTTTGTTTCAGGCAATGCGAGACATTTTGAGCTTTTCCATCCTCTTTTTCTACCTTTACTTTGTTTTTGCCATGGTCGGTCTGTTTTTGTTTGGAAGTAAGGTAAGCTAAATGTCTAAAGAATTAATATACAGTTCAGAAGGTTATGTAAAACTAATAAAGTAGTAGATTTAATTAACAAAATGTTAGTGTTTCCATTATTTATTTACCACATTGTGTTAGATTACTGGCATATTCACAAACACTTTTGAGTGTTTTGACCGCTTTCCCTAAAAGCATTTGTGAAACATGCTTCTGGAGGGGATACTAACAAAAACGTCCATATTCCATTGTAGAAATAACTTGTAACCTCTCAAATGGTATGAAGAACAGGAACTCCTAATGAAAACCATATCCACATTGACCACAAAAGACTACTTAAATTTTGTAGTTTGTAACATGGTATGAGTATATTTTTTTTATTTATAAGCAATCGTTACGATATAGTGTAAGCTATGTTTTATCCAAAACCAATAATTAAAATTAAAAACTTTTACTCATAAGGCAGAGGGATTGGTGGTCTGGGGTGGAACCACTGAAGAGAAAGTATACTGCAAATCCAGAAAAAAGCTATAAAAACATTAGCTGACCTTAGTCCTACAAAAGCTGCAGGGAAGCTTATAGATCACTGAAAATCATGACTGATATCACTATACATCCTTGAGGTGAGAGGAGAAGATATCCAATCCTCCAACACTCAAAGAGCTACAGACTATCTTTTCCCGGGTCATCATGAGACAAAAGATTGTCAATAGCCTGCCCAACCACTTGAAGATCATAAGAAATCAAGACCTGAAAAGAGACTTGAAGAGAATGGATCAATCATACTACTCACTAAAGGAATTCTGCGGTTAAAATTGTTAAGCCGGATGAAAAATCTTATATATTTTAAAAATTTGGTTTTTCTTTTCCGAGTTTGTTTGGCTCTTCTACCCGACCAATTTTCATGATTAAAGTCTCAAATCGAAGGTCTGCACGCACAGATTTGCCATCAAGCATCGGCATTTAATTATCTATAGTCTCACTCGGTTTATACGTAAACGAAATTTGCTCTCCATGTATTTCTTATAGGAGTTAAATTTGGTTTTCTTTTCAGAGTTTGTTTGGCTCCTCTACCCGGCCAATTTTCGTTGAGGTCTCAAATTGTAGTAATGCACGCAAAGATTTTACATCAAGCATCGGCATATACTTACCTACTGTATTACTCGACTAAAAACATAATTTGTATAATTTTTGAATTCTTACGTCAATTTAAGATGTATTTCACCAGTTATAATTATATAATCCTATATATTTTTGTCTAAGAACTTTCAGTTAAATATTGGCTTTTATTTAAGCGATTAAGATACTGTATTACTCAATCAAAAATCATAAATTTGATTATTTCTCGGATATTATATTTATTTTAACCCTGCGGAGCAGCATGGGTCCTCTAGTTTAAATTTAAATTACAATCCGTATATTGTAATCCTATTGTATTTCTTAATCAAATTATTTTATTGATGGATTGATAAAAATGTGTATATATATATTTTTTTTTTTGCTCTGCAGTTGGAGGACTACAAGACATTTCCCTTGGCAGTGTTTTCACTGCTGCGCTCTTCTGTTGGAGACTTCAACTACGCAAACCTGGTGCAAGCAGACCCATTCATTGGTCCACTCTTCTTCTTTACTTTCATTTTCTTCTGTACATTCATTTTGGTGGTAAGTGTTAATGTGTAGATATGACATTAACAAACGAACAAACATTCCTTAATCAGCACTAGGACCAGCTACTTAAATATACAGCATTCAGTCAATTTAACTAATAAATAAGCCGCAATATTTGCGTTTAGTCTTTTGACCCGTAAAATATTTAAATTAATCTATTCCTCCACAGAACATCTTCCTCGCCATCCTAGTGTCCAGATATGAGGAGGTGAGAAGCGAGGTTCGTATTGGAGGAGCGAAAACGTTCATCGGAGAGATGTTGAAGCTCTGGTTTCTCCGGCTTCTCGAGCGCATGGAGTGCCACTGGCTACGCTCACAGATTGAGCGCAAGCAGTTTGAGAAGAAAATCAGATCACCCACAGAGGCCATACGTCACTATTTGCGACAGTGAGTTGTAATTTGGATTTAGTGTTTTATGTCAAAGTTTTTTATCATTGCAGCTATGAAAATAAGTAAATAAAGTCACAGACTTTTGTTACAGTGGAACCTCGGTAAGAAGGTCCTGACCTTGATAATAATTGCCATTTTAAAATAGCCTTGTTTGAATAATTACATTTTATTACAAACCTTTGTAAGTCGACGTTGATTGTCATATTTGATCTTCCCCATGAGACTTGTTATCAAGGTTTTACTGTACAGATTGAGTTGTTAAGAATATTAATGTAAAATTGGAATAATTAGGATATTGCATACTTTGTGTGAAAACTGGGTCCAGTCTAAAAGGATGGATTGAGTTTGCTTGGAGTTGAATGGTTTGAAAGCTAATTGCTCAATACTTTGGTTGAATCGGTTTTACCCAACTTCTGATTCGAAGGATGTTTAAGACAAACACATTACTGTACCAAAACACATTAACTGGTTGACATTAATTTTTTCAGGGCTGGTTACTCTGAACTAGAAATCGAGCTGTTTTTCAAGAAATATGATATCACTGACTCAAAAATTGCTGCAATAGATGAGGATAGGATCAGCTTCAGATCAGGTTAGCTTCATCAACCTAAATGATTATATTAGATGTTTTATTTAGTCTTCCTCCTGGGAGTCTTTCAAGGGTTAAAACAAATCCTAGAAGGTACCTGACATACTGTTAGGGTATATAGAATGAATCTTCCATACGGACAGTGTGGAAGCTACTTTATGTTGTCTTAGCACTAAAGTGGGTAGATGTAGCATTTAGGGCGAAATTAGGGAATGACAGACAATCTGCCACAGCTACATAGCCATGGTGTGAAGCGACAGACTGTGAATTGCACAGCCCATTTTCTCTCTACAGTAGACTCCCTCCTATCCGAACTCCTTGGGACCGAGGCCAGTCCGGATAACGGTTTTTCTGGTTAAACCGACGTCCCCAAAAACTCGTTAAAACGGACCATTTAAATGCATACTGTATACAGTATTTGACTTCAATTTTAGGAGAGCATTGTATTTACACACGTGATCACTGGTTTCAAATCTTTCCCACGAGAACAGTCGTTTTAAGTACCACCCACTTCATGCCGATCTAGTCCGGTTATTCCGATGTGCTGATAAAAATTGTCTGGTTAAAGAGATGTCATTTCTGCCGAGTGTAATCCGGTTAAACCGATGTCCGGTTAAAAGGTGTCCGGATAAGAGGGAGTCTACTGTAATTACTTTTCCTGGTGGATTGCCAGTTAAACTGAACTCTAACAACATTGTCTTAGATTAAGCTTTGTGAAGGGTAGGTCTTTATTTTTGTTGTAGTTTAAAATAATCCAAGTATTCTAGATTGGACCGAAAGTCTTTAACGGCTTGAATTTTTTGGCGGCTGACTGAAGAAGTCTTATCACGATATAGCATATCAACTTTTTGTAACTATTAAAAAGTTTGGATGCCAATGTTATTAGAATAGAAACTAATTTAATTTCTCAAATATCATTCTTACATTGGCATGCACCAATTGGGGAAGGTAAAAATGACCACTTTCCCTGAGATTTTTTGGGATTTCCCTGGGATTACTATACTGGGACACAACAAGATCTGGTCTTTGTCGTGTCGTGACAATAAAAGACAAAATTTCATTTTTGTTGTCATATGAAATCTTTAACGTATAAAGAGTCAAGTCTCTTGTTGCCCAAACAATCATTATCAACCCATAGATGAGGATAAAGAATCAGTGGACATACCATAATCAAGGTAAAATGACCTCTTTTTTTAAAGAAAAACAAGATTGTGCTTGTTTTTTATTTACACACTATTTATTAATTTTATGTTATCAGGTGAAAGAGAAGCTCCACCTCCCTTGTCTCAAAAGGACATGTGAGTATTACAATTTTTAAATATAATAAACTAGCAGAGTACCCGTCCTTCGTACGGGGTTGGCCTATATAATTATAAAATGATTATTGCTGCTATACTCAAGCTTTGCGTTTGCAATGAGGAAGGACACAGTTTGATAAAATTTGCTTCTTTAAATTTACAGTATTCTATAGGTAGTATTACACATCTACCGTAGCCATAATGTTCTACCACTTCACCTAAACAATAGAAAAAATAAATTATCAAAAATTCACAAAATATCACAAATTATTAATGAAAAATAAAAACATAAAACAATCTTACTTTGACAGTTAGTTCTCATTGCGTATCACATTTTTTTTTTTTTTTTTTTTTGCTGCTTAGTTCAAAATAGCTGTTTTCATAAATGCGAAAAATATAGTGCTGCACCCTGTTGGTAAATCTTATAACTTTTTAATGCTTTCCCATATCATAGAACCAACTTTTTTAGTTGAGACAGCTGACTAATTTTTTTATTTAATTCCCTTTAAATATGAATACTCATAAGGTTAACATGGGAAACTACAGAGCCACTGGGGCGTCTATATGTTAATCGGGAATGTGAGCTATCATCATGCCAAATTTCAGCCCAATCCATCAGTAGTTAGTGTGTGATTGAACTTCAAACAAACAAACAAACAAATAAACAAACACACAAACTTTCACATTTATAATATTAGTAAGATTCCCTAAACAACCAACTGCTCACCGTGTATAATGTGGGTAAACATAATAAATGCAATTTTTTTTTAATCTATGTCAATATGCGTTTGTAAAATTTCCTTATTGCTTACAAAATTCATACGGTTTGGTTTTAAAGAATTTAAATATTACTAGGAAAGAAAACATCTGTAAATTGTTGGTTATGGTTAACTTGCCCCCATGAAAGTTGAATAAACTGCATAAATATCCCATGACACATTTTTACATACTTTTTGTCGTGCATAAATATTTTTTGAGGATTTATGCAAAGAATACGTATAGAGGTTCTTAACAGAGTATTTATGTTAACAGTTTTATTTTTTGTTGCATTTTTAGATTGCGCTACATAGTCATACAGAAGCTGGAGTACTTGGAAAACCACTATCAAGCTGCTAGTAAGCTGATTGACGAGTTCCTCAACAAACTAACAAAGTTTGAGAAGAAACAGTAACTTTTAACATTAAGTTTGTGAAGATTTTTCCAATTTTGTATGTTGATTTTTTAATTTGAATTTTTTATGACTGTTTTATTTGTTAAAATAAAGATAATTTTGTTATTTGGAAATTTTGTATATACTTTAGTTCCTTGAATTTATAGGTTCAAGTATGAGAGAGAAACTAGTGTTTAATAGTGGATTAAATTATAGGCTAAGCTTAAAAAACTCTACTACCTTGGAATAAAACATGCTTTTTGGGACAGCTCAAGCTATAGGTTTGCAAATAAATACATGAATAACTGACTACAGTATTTTGATTAAAAATTACTTTATTATCATTTAGCTATGTTACATGAGTATGATAGAGAATACTGCCAACAAACATAAACAAAGTGGTAGAATTGACTCTTAAAAAAATACAAAATAAGGAGTTGATAATGAAAGAGCAACAACTCCGGAGAAAAACAAAGAGTTTCTGCTAAAGGGTAACACCTCTGTAGCTTGGTGAAGTCCCCTGTCTTCTTAAAATCTGTGTCTGAGATCCTATATGATGGCATAGTTTAAGTAGTTCATACTTTAAAACAAAATTTGCATGCATTTTGGTTATGTTGCTAGCTTAGGAGTGTTTTGGACCTTGGTTAGAAAGAGACACAGATTCAATGCACAACACATCCACAAAAATCTGAGCCTTTGAACCACTTTCCCTGGAAAACTTGTGGGATTCTTCCTCGGGCGTAGACACTAATACAAACAAATGTTCAGGCCAAACAACAAGGCTGCGTTAAAGGTGTTTTTACTGTTAAAATATAGAGTAGCGAGAGCTGGTTTAGTGGTTAGAGTGCGGGACTTTGATCCCTATGAGGTCCCGGGTTCAAATCCCACCAAATCACCAATGGATTTTATCTAAGTGATAATGCCGCAACCCCTATGTCTAGCCTGAAGTAATGTGAAAAACAATCCCAGGCTCGGACCTAGCGTTCTAGGAAAAAACTGCTAAAATATATATTTTTAAACATTTTAGTTATTTTGTATACACCTCAAGATATTTATGACAAAGGCTCAGATGTTTCTCTACAAATCTTGCCTCTAGATATACAGAGTGACAATTAAGTCTTTAGGACGAGTAGGACGACTTTATAACTTTAAAACAAACAAGAATGAGATATCACAACCAAATTTGGCATGCCATTCCTGGTAATATTAAGCTAGGCTACTTTCTGTTGGTGATCAGATGTCACCTCTGGGGGATGTCCATTATATGGAGTAAGTTGAAGGTATCTTTGAAGGTAATATGGAGTATCTTAAAGGTAAGCATAAGTTGGTATGTACATACAATTAAAGGTCTTAATTGTTGAACTAAAAGCATTGCTGCAAACCTGACCTCAAATGGACAACCGAGTCAAAAATGGCAGCCGTTCAATCTACTGTCATAGTTTGCTTGTTTTGGGATTATTTTGATCAAATTTGACAAATATGTTGATTACCTATACTAAGCTATTAACATTTTAATATAATACACACTTTATTACCTTCCCTGTAGCAGTAAACCCATGTAAGCAATATTAAGCATTAAAATTAATGTTGTTCAATCTTACTAATATTATAAATCTGAATAGAAAATAAATATGAAATTTTGAAGGTAATCATTTAGTGAAAATCTAACGTGGTAAATGAATATTCGGTTAGTCTACAGGTTTGCTGCAGTGGGTTTTTTTTCTTTTATCCTCTCTAATGAATACAAAATAATAAAAACAGCTGGTTATTAATTTGTTTCCCTATGTCATTTTGAAAATCATAATAATGGTTTTATTTGTTTCATAGGTTCATGTTTTGTAGCACTAATAACTTAAGTACATTTTATAAAATAGGGTTTTCTGAATATATTGTCATTCAAACATCATTGGTAAAGTAACTATGTTTTTAGTTTGTTTGTTCAAGAATATTATCCTCTAAAAAGGTAATTTCTGAATTATAAATATAATTATAAATCTTTTAATTTTAGATTTTTGGGTTCAGTGTGTAGGTTAACACAATGTGCTTTAAACAAAAGTTTTTAACAATCCGAAGACTGCTAGTCGTGAAATGTTTTGATCAATGTTTTTAGTGTTTGCAACAAAAATTTGTTTTTTCATTTTCTATTTGTAAACTAAAGACTTACAGCATTTTTAAAAGTCACTTGTATTTACGTTACATAGTTCACCACAAAATGTTTAAGACTTTTAGTTGGTAAAATTGGTTGTCAACATATATTTGGAATATTTTTTTATAAACATGGCTTTTGTATTAACATTTAAAACCCCATAAAGATAACTTTCAACTATGCAAGCTAAATTCAACAGAAAGTGGTACTAGGTACTGTGTAATATAACCTTGCGTACAATCTTATCATTATTATCCTAGTTGTAGGGTTTACGCGTATTGTTATTGTAGTAAATTGTAAGCCAATTGACACATCTTTGGCATGAAAAAAAAACGCTACAGGCCTTATAACTCCTAAATCAATTAAGTTTTGGTCTTGGGTGAATAGAATCATGGGTTACAAAGACATTGGTGGGCCTCCCTTCTGCAACATAACCAATTTTAATTAAAGTAGGTGAAAATGAGTTTTAAAGATTTTGGTCAGAACATTACAGCAAAACTAATTTAAAATACCCCCGATGCAGCAAACCTTTCAGACCGAGTGAATTTTGATTTGTCTGATTGGATTTTAACCCAAATATATTTCCATGAACAAGTCATATTTCCCCATCAAGATAAATTTAGATTTAACGAGTTCTTTTGTTAGTGAGGGTAAAAAGTGTGTTTTAGTCTATTGTTAATAATATATGATGAAATAAATAAATCAAATTTGGAAATGTACCATCACTAAACGTTCTGGGATAGCCAGTCTGTCAAAATACAATGTGGAACCTGCTTGGATTCTGGTTTGAAAATACCCCCACCTGTCCTTGTTTTACATACCGGTACCTAATAATTATCATATATATTCTAATATTGTAATCACAAAAACTTAAGGTAATGTTTTCAAACTATATACAGATTCTACATCGACCATGTCTAATACACTTGATGACAACGCTAAGAAAGCCTCCAATGATCAGGGAGGGCATAAAGATAGCCAACGAAGAGACTCGGTGACCCAGTCATTCCTACATTCCTTGGGAACTTCTCGGGAGATTGGCCGACCCATTAAAGTTGAAGAGGGTTTCAAGCCTAGGACCAAAACTTCAGATGACTATGAGATCCTCTACGATCCAGAGATTGACAAGAATCATCCGTTGGATAAATGGAGGCGAAATGTCTACCTCAGTAAGTCCAGTCTAAGCGGGCAACTTTTGTTTTTTAAGGAGGATCTGTCTAAAGTCTGTATGTCTGAAAGTTAAAGAGCAATGAATATCAAACCCTTTAAGAAGAAAAATGCTTATGGAGAATAGTCATACTGGAATTTTGTCGCCGAAATGAGATCATGCAGCTGCGCTACTCTATCTCTCATTCGTTGTCTCACTCTCTCTCACACAGTTAGCTGACTTGGCCTCGCACTTACCATAGTCTACCCAGCGGCCGCTGCGAGAACTATCCGAAATTCAAATATTCCTAGACTGAATTTTTTACAAAGGCATTGCGCTTCTTAAAGGGTTTGTATTCATTGTTAAGGAGTTATTCCATAAATTGAGTCAACAGAACACACTCTTGAACCGAACCACCGTACCACCAATGATGGCAGTCAACAGTGATTTATTGGTTTAGGAGAAGAATGCCGAAAGTTTCAGGTAGACATATAGTTGCTAAGGGAGCACGTCTCTACAAAAAGTGAAGATATCGCAAAAGAATTCTCAATTAAATAATCTATTAGTTGGGACTAGGCAATGCAGTCTTGTATATTATCATTTAAAAATATCATACCAAAGTTATAATAGCCTCTAAAAGCTGTCCGCAAATTAAGATTTTCATTAAGCTCCCATTGCAACCAAGGCAGCTATAAAAAATCTAAAACTAATGTAATATCTAGATAAAATGTGTGCATTAACTTATTTTTACCAAAGTCCTCAGAAGATCATGTTTTCAGGATGTATGCTCAGCCGTGAGATTGCCAGGTATCTGGACAGACAAACTTTCATCACTGTTTCAACGAGGGAGGCACTCTTATACGGCATTTTTCTTATATTACTAATTGTCAGTAAGTATAAGAGATTGACTTCACTGTTTAAAATACTGTAGGCTTACTATAGCCTACTATAGTTTAATCTTAATGGTTATCAATAGTTTTATAATATTTGATTGATTGTAATGGTTTTAAATCAAAATAATCTCTTCCTGCAAACTACAAATTTCAGGGGAGTGTTTTGATTTTGCAGAACACTTAAGCCAAGGCCATAGACGCCTCCGGTAACTTGAAATACATTAGAGACAATAGTAACCTGCCTCCTAACCTGGATGATCTACTGGCTTCCTGTAAATGCAGCTTTTCAGCTGGAAAAAAACTTACATTTCATATAATTTTGGTTTACCGTACTGCATCACTTAAAAAAATAATTTAAATTTTGGCACAGCGCAGATACAGGAAAAGCCAAGATATTGGAACGATGGTATAATCAGAATTTTATAAAATGGTTGATGTTAAGAAACAAATAAAAGTTTTACCAGGGTGGACTTATTGTAAGCATAAAAACTGTTTAAAACCTTCAAAAAATTATTTTAAAACTGTTTGAACATTAGAGTAGGAAGTCAATTTTAATAAAGTGGTTTACCTTATGGTTGCCAGATTCTTGAAAAATGTAGACTTCTTGCTCGATGCACTTTTTGCCACAAGTGTGGCATCTTCAGGAGCAAAGTTTATCACATTACTTTACACAAACACTATCTTACTATTCGTAATTGAATTATTTACATTCTCGGTCGGACAACACGGCGTAGGTATAATCGTCAAACTTATATATAGAATAAGTATTGCATCCATAAGGTAAACCAATTTATTAACCATTCGTTCTTGAAACTGTGAATAATAGACAATTAATTTTTAATAGTTACACAATTGAATTACTTGAAATTTTCTATTATACTTCCCCATCCATTGTAAATTATTCATACCCCATAAGGATTGAAACAATTTTAAAGATCTTAGCTCATTATAGTGTAATGCCTGTTTTTTTAGTCACTTTTGGATCGTTTTCCTTGGAAAAGTTTTATCTCAATGAAGCGATGGTTTCAAGATATACAGAACTTGCTTTTGAAATTGAAGATTTGGAGGATGTAGATGATGATTCAGCTCCTTTGGGGATAAGTTTCTACCAAATAAACACTCTAGAACATGTATGGTTTGTAAGTATCTATTATTATAATACCAGGACTAATCTTTATTTGTCCTTAGAAGACATTTGTATCTTGTCAGGTTGTACAAGTCATTCAAGAGTCTTTTTTTGTAAGTGTTATGCTATTAAGGTGTTTTGTTGTCTTTTCCAAATATGTTATCAATTTTTCAATGGGATAATGGCAACTGAGTCCAATTTCAACACACTTTTGATTGTACTGGCAACCTTTACATTTTAAGGAGAACCCTGATAACTCGGTTAAAATTATAAAATAATGAATTGAGCACAATTATTATATGTATAAACAATAATAAATGTGCTTTAAAAGAGAAGTACTTGTCTCTACCCACAGATTTTATAACTCCCTCTATTTCTTTCTCCCATTTAATTATCATTCTCAGTCGGATCAAGAGTGAATCAAGCTTCAAGTTTGCCATACATGTTAAATAATTTTAACACCTCTTGAAAAGCGAACTTTTTTTAGTCGAGTTTATGTTTTCATCTGTTGTCTTTTTCAGTACCAGAGCCACATTGCTGAAAATCTTATTTACAGACCATTTTGGTATACCCAAGATGGTTTATATGAAAACAAGTTGATGGGTCAACCTCAGATCAGACAGGTAGGTAGAACGGTGTTTTTGGTCATCACATCATCTGTCTTTGACTATGCGATTATGTCCGCTAAAAAGTTGAATGGGATAAACTTGTTGATTTAAGAGTTGATTGTTTAGTTTAGTTTCTAAAGAAACATATTCTTAAATAAAGGAAAACAAGTTATGAACCCTATCCTCCCAAAATGTCCAAAAATCCGTCTATATAAGACCCAATTGAAAGAATAAAAATGGTCTCAAATACTCTTGGTTACTCAGAAATATATTTTTTGCCCATCCCAGGTTTAAGAACTTGAACTATTTTGAACTACCTTTTATGCTGTTGACTAGCTGTACCCGCGGGCTTTGCCCCGTTTAACTTCATAAGTTTTCGCATGGCTCAATCACGTCCTGGTGGAAGTTCGTTCGCTGCGCTCACGTGCCCTCAGGTTAGCTCGTTTGCTACGCTAACTCGCCTCCAGGTTGAAGTTCGTTCGCTACGCTCACTCACCTTTTGGTTGCAAATTAGCTGTTGTTATAAATAAACAAAAATAATAGTGCTGCACCCTGTTGGAAATCCTTGTAACTTTAATGCTATTGAACAGAACCAACTTGTTTAATTGAAACAGCTGTTAAGATTCATTAATTCCTTTTAAATATGAAAAATCATAAGGTTAACACGGGAAACTCCAGAGCCACTGGAAAGCCCGATCAGAATAAAAACTACTTAGTTTTCCTATTTAATGCCCAAAGAATTGGTGTGTACCGAATTTCAGCCTCCTAGGTAAATGGGAAGTGGGAGAATTAGTGATGAGTGAGAGTGAGTGAGTGAGTGAGTCAGTGAGGGCTTTTCCTTTTATATATTTAGATTACCTGTGTTCTTGACTCAAACATTTAAAGGAAATCTAAAAAACTCAGATCCACTAGCACCAGCACAAAAAATACTAATTAACAGTTAGTTTATTTTGTTCAGCTATTATCACTAAAATTAAAGAAAAATGATTAATTACTTTGTTTTAGTGAGGTAAATTATGTGGTTACATTTTAGTTGAGAACAAAGAATTGTTCTTGTGAAGTGCATGGCTATTCGATTATAAATTCTTCCATGGCTTGCTACATGCCGTACTCCGAGAGCAATGAGGAAACCGATAACATGGGTTTGGATTCACAACCAACGACAGAACGGCTAGCTCTAGTGTGAGTTGTGAGTTAAGTACGTAACTACAGTCGGGACCATGAGAGTCTGCAGTTGAGGGAGGAGTCTATTTACCACGTGACTTCAAAGGAGCCAATGAGGACAGTTAGGTGTTGCCAATCTAATAATACCAGCTGATTTGAAAATACTGTTTAGTATTTTAATTAGTGTCTTCAACAGGCGATATGGCAACCGTGCACTAGCCTTGTCTTGTGATTGGCTACCACCAACTGCAGACTCTCATGGTCCCGACTTTAAGTATGACATAACCAAGACATTATTGCACTATGAATATATAGTTGTCATAAGTTATGTTGTAGATGAGTGAAAATTTAAAAACGTACGTTTTTAGGAAAACCACTTTTAAAATTTTTTGTTCCGTTTTGAAACTTTTGTTATTTTTGTTATTTCATTGACATTTGAAGTTTCATAAAATGTCCATGGTAACGCAATATTTTTGGTGGTTTTTTATTAATAGAGCATCTTTGATGGAAAGACACAAAATTTTGTCACGACCATCACGGACATAAAACTGAATATTAAAAATAGTTAATATTATTTTTATAACTATGTTTTGCTATAAATTAATTTACTTTTATGGCCATTATACAATAAACAGCTCACTAAGCTGTTGGTATATTTGGTCTTTCTAGAAAAAAAGAAAAAAACTCAAAAAATTGAAAAAAACCAATAAAATCTTTTTAAGTTTGTATAACTCTGAAAAAACTTACCTGAGACCCTAAAAATCGTAATGTATTTATAGAGGTGTGCTGCTTTTGTGTATTAAACATTAAAATATGATGATATTTTAATTTTTGAAATTTTTATGATAGAAATCATAAACGCGATGATGGTCAGGGACAAGTGGTACGGTCGTGAATTTTCTGGAATAATATAAATATTTCTAAACAATCCTTCAATTATATTGTTAGTTATAATAAAAATATGTGTTTCAATTGAATTAAACTGTTCAATTTAGAATGATATTTAAATTATTGTCACGACCAAACACAGTATAATCCATAAGGTTGGATTGGTCGTGAAAAAATCCGCGGTGGTCGTGAAACTTTGGTCGTGACATTACGTGTTATTTGGTTCTGTTCTAGCGGTAGCCCTGCACCTCATGTTCGAGGATACAAAGTGGACTTCTAGGTGAATGTAGCAATTGAAATATCATATCAACAAAAATTAACACCACGTCTACTTCATCAAATGACTACGTACGGTCATGGACACGCCAAAATTACAAAAAACACAAACTTACCTTTATTAATCTTGTAACTACTTCTTTCAACACAAAACAACTGGCACAAAAAACTTGACGTACACCCCGAACAAGTCTCTAAAACGAACTGACACTATCGACGATAGGCTTGCCACTGTCGTGCTCCAAAGTTGTAAATTTTTCCCAAATGGTCGTGACGCCAAATCGAGGGACAGACTTATTTTGTTATGGTTGTCAGTTTGCAATGACAATAAAATTATAATATGCTCCTTTTTTTGTAAGTTTAATAACTATTGATGACATAAAACTATGGCTTTATATATTTCGGCATGAATAATTTTTCTAAAAACAGCGTGAAAGTTGGAAAATGTATCCTAGGGACACGTCATGGTCGTGAATTTCGAGACTTTAAAAATACAAAAAAATACCTAGAACCTATTTAAAACCAAATAAATGTGTGTAACATTTTGCCCCCGAACCAAAAAATATTAAACACATAATAATAAAGTACAAATCCAGTATCTACGAAGTAAAAGGCCAGGGACATGAAAACATACGTTTTTAAATTTTCACTCAGTTGTGTTTTAAATAATAACAACGCTATAAAACAGGTGACATCGTCAATACATGTTTCTGGTTATACATTGACAGAGAGTTATATTCGTAACATAAACAAGCTTTATTACAGTTTTAAAATGAATTGAAAGAACATTTTATAATATGTATACATTTGACACTTTAAACCGATATTTAGGTGAATCCCTTTTACATCATTTTAAAATTCAGACAAACCTGTTTAGAGAATTACAACTCATTTAAGGGTTTTCTTTATTGCTTAACACAATGTTTACCTTTAAAAAAGTTGATGATTTTTTCACTAGCTTGAGAAGGTGTCTATAGGACACTAAAAGCCAATTATCCATTTCGATGTAGGAGTGCTAAGTGTTATTATTAGGGGAAATAATCTAGATTAAACTGAATTGTTGATAAACTCTTAAAAACTAATCAGTAATCGGATATGAACAAATTACATTCTAAATTAACACTTTCAAATTTTCTTTCATGGAGATGTTTTTAGTATTACATACTGATGTATAGTTTTAAACATGTGTTCATTAATTGAATGTTTATGTTTACCAATTTTGTAAATAGAATGGATTGAATAAAATAATGTACCTATCTTTTGATTTGAATCTAATTATTATACAATAAATGGCGACGAGGATGACGGAAATAGGAAATATAAAGAAGTTGAGATCAGTTGCAAAAAGACAAATTTCCAAAGCATTTAAACTAATTGTAGAAAATAAATCAACTGATAAAATGACAAGTGCTGAGATAGAGGTGAGGTTAGACAGTTTAAGATCGTATTGGAAACAATTTGAAGATGCACAAACCAAAATTGAACTAGCCACTGAAGACGAAGAACAAGATGATCTAGCCTCGTACAGAAGTGAGACAGAAGAAATGTACGTTGTTTTAGAAGCAGTTTTGAGAAATGAAAAGACACGACACAATAATACAGAGCCTACAGCAGCACATACGCTTAACAAGGAACCAAGCACAACATCAAACATTAGTTTTGTTCCATACGATGAAGAAGAATCTTTTAGGAATTTCATTAAAAGATTTGAAAATTTTCTTGTACTTAAAGATGTAAATGAAGAGAAAACAAAGCTTTGTAGTTTACTACATGCACTTTCACCTAAACTACATGAACGTCTTCTAGACATAGTTGCCCCTGATGACCCTTACAAGATGAACTATGAAAATGTTGTTACTGTTTTAAAAGACCATTTGGAACCATTACCAAGTGTATTAACATTACAACATCGCTTTGTGTGTAGAGTACAACAACCGAATGAGTCAATCATTGAATTCGCTATGGAATTGAAGAAACTGTCCAAAGATTGTCAGTTTAACTGTGATTGTGGAAAGTCAGTACGGTAACTGATATGTTATTACGCATGCAACTGGTAAGAGGACTTCACGACCATGATATTAAAGGACAACTTTTACAGAAGAAAATTGTAACTACTTTTAAGGAAGCACTTGAACTTGCAACATCACTGGAAGCTTCGAGAACTGAAAGCAGCATGATGACTGCTCAAACAGCACCACCAGCAGTTCCAGTGCTCAAGGTTGTAGAGAATCAGACAAGAAAATGGGACAGATACTCTGGGAATAAGAACGCTGTACAGGCAACAAACAAAGACCAATATTCTCCTTCCCGTTCAAAGTTTTCAGGTTTACAAGGACGGTGTTATCGGTGTGGAGATAGAGACCATAGAGCAAATACATGTAAGTTTAGAAATGAATTTTGCAATTTATGTAACAAAGTAGGGCATATTGCAAAGGTATGTATGGGAGGACCAAGAAAACAACGAATTGACCAACTAGACGACAGAGAGACTGAAAAACAGTTAGATCATACTACCTACGATTCTTATAAACTTCAAGTAAATAACAGTGATAAGTTCATTATGAAAATAGAAATTGAAGGAAAACCATTATCTATGGAACTTGATACAGGAGCAGCGCTATCTTCAATCTCATTTGAGGACTATAAGAGATTAGATATCAATAAGAGAATGTTCAAATCACATGTACAGCTTCGCACATATACAGGTGAAATCATACAAACTAAGGGCGTAGTATATGTTAGGTTTCAGTACAAAGAAAAGATTTACTTCGGAAAACTATTTATTATCGACCAAGATGTTGAACCAATATTTGGTAGAGACTGGATAAGAGAAGTCAACTTAGAAATTGGTGATATTAGAATGTTGAATCAAAACTCATCTGAGTTGACACAAGTTCTTGACAGTTATTCAGATATATTCAGTAAGGAAATTGGTTGCATTCCAAATGAAAAGGGACACCTGAATCTAAAAGAAGGCTGTGGTCCAATATTTGTGAAGCCGAGGCAAGTGCCCTATGCTATTAAACAAAAGGTGGAAGAAGAACTCGATCGACTGGAAAAAGCTGGTATTATTACAAAGATTGAAAACTCAGAATGGGGTACGCCAATTGTGCCAGTAGTAAAACCTAATGGTTCGGTACGAATATGTGCAGATTACAAGACTACGTTAAATAAAGTTATCCGTGATGAGAAGTATCCAATACAAAGAATTGAGGACATCTTTGCAGAGATGAATGGAGGTAAATTTTTCTGCACACTCGATGTTAGTAATGCTTACTTACACATGCCAATGGACTCTGAAAGTGCTCTGCTACAAACAATAAGCACTCAGAAAGGTTTGTATAAAGTAAACAGGTTGATGTTTGGAGTGAAAGTAGCACCAGCACTGTGGCAAAGATTCATGGATAAGGTACTGCAAGGGACTGATGGAGTTAAGTGCTTTTTCGATGATATAATCATTCAAGGTACAGATTACAAGAGTACACTAGAGAGATTAAAAACTGTCCTAGAAAAACTTAGAGCGCATAACTTGAAATTAAATTTTGACAAATGTAGATTCTTTCAACAAAGAATAACATACTTGGGACATACAATTGATGAAAACGGGCTGAAGAAAAACTCAGAAAAGGTCAAAGCAATTATCGAGGCAGAAAAACCTAGAAATGTGAATCAACTACGATCTTTCATTGGCATGGCCAATTACTACAACAAATTCATACCAAGACTGGCCGAAAAGCTATATCCATTGAATAAGTTACTACAGAAAGGACAGCGATTTGAATGGTCACAAGAATGTGAAAACAGCTTTATCAATGTTAAAAAGCACATAGCCAATGACAACACTCTAGCACACTACAATCCAAAACTTCCTCTAATACTCTCAACTGACGCATCTCCTTATGGATTGGGAGCAGTAATTTCCCATAAGTTTCCTGATGGGTCGGAACAACCCATAGCTTTTGCTTCCCGATCTTTATCAAAAAGTGAAAAACAGTACAGTCAAATAGACAAAGAAGCTACAGCAATTTACTGGGGGGTAAAGAAATTCTTTGCTTATTGCTATGGACGAAAGTTTGTTCTTCAGACGGACCACAAACCTCTTGTTTCCATATTCCATCCATCAAAATGCTTACCGGCAATGTCAGCTACTCGTTTATTGAACTACTCACTTTTTTCTTGCTGGGTTTGATTATACAATTGAGTATAGAAGAACTTCAGACCACTGTAACGCAGATTTCTTGTCTCGTTTTCCAGTTGAACAAACTCAAGATGATGAAGACTTGTATTCCAAGTTCCAAATGAATCAAATAGCAATTCTTCCTCTCACACAATGTACACTTGCAGAGCATACAAAGAAAGACTCTGTACTAGCTACAATAGTTACAGCACTAGAAAATGGAGAAAATCTGGAAAAGGTTGGTTTCCGAAATAATGATTTAAGTTTACATAAAGGTTGCATCTTTAGAGGTAGTCGAGTTGTAATACCTAACACATTGCAGAAAGAAGTTCTCAAGGAACTACACATTGGGCATTTAGGCATGTCGAAAATGAAGGCCATGGCGCGAAGTTATGTATATTGGAAAAACTTGGATAATGATATTGAAAACTTGGTTAATAACTGTGACAAATGCAAACAGAAAAGAAATGAACCATCTAAATTAAACCATCACCCTTGGGAAGAACCTACAGCTCCCTGGCATCGCTTACATTTGGATTTTTGTGGACCCGTAAATGGAAATTATTTCTTCATAATTATTGACGCCCATACAAAATGTTTGGAGGTTATACATACAAAAAACACTTCTTCAGACTGGTGCATTCGAAATTTAAGTCACTTATTTTCAACTTTTGGACTGCCAGTTATGATAGTAACAGACAACGGCTCCCAATTTACGAGTGCACTTTTTCAAAGGTTTCTAAGCAATAATGGAATTTGCCATAGGACTTGTGCACCTTTTCACCCATCAAGCAATGGCCAAGCTGAACGATTTGTCCAAACTGTTAAGAAATCATTGGCTGCCATGAGTGAAGACAAGGGAGACTTGCAGCATAAAATAGATCTTCTCGTAACTCAGTTACGCAAAGCTCCAAACTCTACAGGACTCTCCGCTTATGTGTTAATGTTTGGCAGAGACATAAGAACAAAACTTAACGTGATGGCAGATAAAGTTGAATGGAATAAAAAGACTATGTCGGAACACAAGCTGAAAAGAAATTTTCAGGTGGGACAGAGAGTACTGGTAAGAAATTATTCCTCAAAAGTAAAGTGGAAGGAAGGGAAAATAATTTCAAGAACAGGAAATGTTATGTTTAAAGTCAAGACAGACACTGGACTCACTTGGACTCGTCACTCAGACCAAATACTTCCCTTACACTAAGGGGGGAGAGTTGATGTATAGTTTTAAACATGTGTTCATTAATTGAATGTTTATGTTTACCAATTTTGTAAATAGAATGGATTGAATAAAATAATGTACCTATCTTTTGATTTGAATCTAATTATTATACAATACATACAGTAGTAGATTAAATTAAATTTGTATTAACACCGAGACACATTGCAAGATTGCGCTGATCTAAATTACTAATTTCTGTCAAATACACATTGTTTTTTACAAAGTGAAACTGATGGAACGACTTATTGTGAGCTATAGCAACTGTTATGACCCATCAACTCTGTTAGTAACAAAAAATAAGGTAGAAAATAAACTTTTTGACACTACCGCATTTTGTGACTGGCTCACACACCTACATTCTTTTTTAGTAAAGAAATGACAACGGCTGATCCATATAGATGGGATATCTACTTCTGTATCTATGCTACAACAGAATGATCCATAAGGAGATTGCTAACCAATTCTTTTCTTTTTTTCTCTTTTTTTTAAAAAGAGGTTGGCGGCCTCTTTTAACCTTGCATTTGCCCGTCCACATAGACTAAGCGCCCGTGCGTGGATCGTTTACAGCAAAGCAAGGAGTGAGTCGGTACAGTACAAAGGTGAACTGTACTGATAAAATGTTATCGGCAGTGACCAGGATCCGAACCCACGACGTCGCTGCCTTGGGCCCGAAGTCCGCGACGCTACCGACTGAGCCACCGACTCACTATTAAATTAATTAAATTTCAGTTTATGTACTGATTACTTTTACTCCACTTTGCAGTAACAAATGGCTCCCAGCTACTAAGACTGGTTCGTTGCCGTATGGTGGAACCTTTGCTAGATATGGTGGCGGAGGGTACGTCGCACTTCTGCAAAACGAGGACGACGCAGTGCAACTGACCGCGGCACTCAAGAGTTTCAAGTGGTACTCGAGAGCTACTCGTGCCATCTTTATCGACTTTGCCATTTACAACGGAAATGTCAACTTATTTTGTATTTTCAAGTAAGATTTGGCTAGCAATAAATATTTACTTGGGTTTGTAACAGTTTTGTGTGTGTCTAGGAAGTCATTGGGTAAATTTTTGTAAGGTAGTGTGTCAATGATTAAAGTTTCTATACTTTTTAATAGAAAATTACACCTTTGCTTTTGATTTTGGAGTAGTGTTTTGAGACATATTCTTCAATTTAATATCTAGTAGAATTAAGGTTTTTTATTGAGGAAATTTAAGTTACTTCTTAAAATCCTAAAAAAAAAAATACTTAAAACTTGATTTTCAATCTTGTTATAACGTACTTCAAAATAACACTAAAATCGGTACAATATATATTTCAATTTAACCTAAAATTACGTTAATTTTGTTTGAAATTAGAATCTTCGTAAAATCCAATTTAAGGGAGTGTTCTGCAGTACAGTATTACGTCAACTTCTCAAACGGGCTAACACCTTGTTTAAATAACTTCTTGATCAGTATTGTGTATGTTATTAAATTTACAGAAAGTACATAAAAACATACCTATCCCTAGACACCTAACTCACAAGAAATATATATAACCGATGGTAAGAGGTAATCGATTTTGATTGGAGTGTTGAATATAAATTGACTACCACTTACCATAGTCATGGTATGTATGTATTTTGTATTTACCATCCAGTGAGTTAACAGTATAAGTATGTTTCAATAGTGTTATTAGACATATTTTAATGTACTTTATATTTATTATTTGACTTAACAAGAATTAGTGTTAATGAAACAGATACATTTTAAGTTGTGTTATTAAAAAACCATTGATTTTTTCTATCATGTTTAAGAATTTGTTTGAAGAAGTAGGATGTGCAACACAAGTGAAGACAAAATATTTTACTAAGTAAAATGTTGTCTATTGTTTGTCTTTTATACTAAGTAGTCACCACAAGTGTGGCGTCTTCAGGGTACGCTAAATTTTAACAACTGTGCATAGGCTACAAGTCTTTGTGATTATTTTTTGTGTCACTAACACTAAGATAAATGTTTTTGTTTCTAAAGGTCATTTACACCAATCCTTCATAAAGTACGCCTTATACTATGTAAATTATCTGTTAACAGGCTGCTATTTGAAATACCCCCTTCGGGTGGTGTCTTACCCTCTGCCATGATCACCACAAAGAAACTGCTTCGCTACAACGATGGGTCAGACTACGTTATTTTGGCTTGTGAGATTGTCTGTATGATATTTGTGGTTTTCTACACGGTACAAAAAATATTGGAAATAAAGACTCTCCGGCTGAAATTGTTCAAGTCGTTCTGGAATTACATTGACGTGATAGTGCTGATAGTAAGTCAGTTGCAATAAGTTTACATTATTAGTTCAGTTATTCAATAAGATATTTTAGTTTTGCTGTCGGCTTGGACTTTCTATTAGCATTTGTTTAACGTTGTTATATGGGAACAGTACAAACCACGATAACTAGAAAAATACCGGTATGGATCATAAACATAAACAAATGACGTTTTTGGCCCGAAAATAAACATTATTTAACATTGCTTAAATGGAACTTCCAAAACATATGTTCAATGCTATTAGTATAGGATTCGGGCCAACAACATCATTTGTTTATGTTTATGATCCATACCGGTATTTTTCTAGTATTCGTGGTACAAACCATAAGGTTATTTATCATCTAACATCAACCTATTGTTAAATGTCATAGTTGATTGATAACCAAACGGAAATGACAACAATAATTGACATTTGGTTCTAGAATCAACTCTGCTTGGGATCAAATCAGCAACCTTTAGATTTGAATGCTTTATTCTGAAGGCAAGCACTATGACCACATGGTTGCTCAAATAATTAAATGGGTCATTAACAATGTCTCAATAATTTTTTTTTATACATTTAGTCACTAACTTTTAATTTAGCAGTAGACATTATACCTATATGGATCAGCTATGGTATTACTGTATTATTATACAGAGCGACAGAGCTAAAGTTATTGGCAACTAACTGGATTTGAGCCTGGGACCTCAGATAGCCAGAGACCAAGTACTCTGTTCTACCAACAGAGCATCTTGTTCCAGATACTGTAATGTTACCAGTAGATAGTGCTAAATGATTTGTTCAAATATTCCTTTTTTTTCTTTTTGTTTGCCTTTTAAATTCAACAATTCTAAACTGTTGTTTCAGCTACTGTGTTTCCTGTGGCTGCTGAGTTTTGTGACAAACATAGTCTTGTTCTAGGTACCAGTACCCAAATCTTGTCTTAGATACCGGTACCCAAAAGATGACGGGAATTCTAGGGAACCTGAAATGCTGTGAACTCATCAGATGTAAAAAAAATCTGTAATTACACACTAGCGAATCAAAGTTAACATTTTGTTTACAGATGAGCTACTTTACATTCATTTTCAATGTATTACTTTACATCAACATGAATAAACTACTCCCAATACTGAAGGACCCAAGCTATGAGGACAAATACATTTCCTTCGACACTCCTTTGTACCTCCACATCCTTTTCAGCCGATCATTCGCTGTTCTCATTGCATTTGCTTTCTTGAGACTTCTGAAATATTTCAACATTGTACATTCTATCTACCGTCTTCATAGTACAGTACATAGGGTGAGTATAAATTCAAATTTTTTACATAAATATAATTATAAATCAGTTCCTTTACTTTTCAAATTGCATTGTCCCCATGGCCTTTAGCTTTAAACTACCTTTTTTGTAGACTATATTAACTGAATATAACGTGAACTGCTACGGTTTTGTAAGTGCATAGCCATAAATGGGCGTTATTCAAAAAGGAGCAGTCCCAAAAGTAGCGGTTTGCTGTGGAGGTTTGTAAATTCTTCCGCTTGCACTTAGGAACCGCTTGCGGCGAGCGGTTCCTATATGCATTGGGTCGCATGTATTGCAGCGGCTTGCCGCGTGACACATTATTACAGCGGTCGGCCACAGTCCACTGCTACTGTGAATAAAAGGGCCCTTAGCATAAATTCTTTTTTCTGTAAAATTGAAATGAATTTTTGATTGGTTTAAAATATTTTAGTTAGCATTCTGGAATTAAATATTAGATAATTTATTGAAAACAGTTTGCAATATTATTAAATGTTGATTTCAGGCTCTGCCAGACATAATGAGCTATTTCATTATATTTTTCTACCTCTATTTCGTTTTTGCTTTTGTTGGATTGTACTTATTTGGCAGTAAGGTGAGTTTAAACTTTACTATTTTTATGTTTAGTTTAAACTAGCTGTGTACCCGTTCTACGCACGGGGATCTTATAATATTCAGTTGAAACCTTCTTATATAAAGAACAGCAGTTGGTTTGCATATTTTAAGATATGCTGGCCAAACTATTATACATAGCTTCATTTTATGTTGTTTTTTGTTGTTCCGGATCGGTATGACAATCAATAAAAGGTTAAATTACCTCTGTGTCTGCCGGTCGATCCTATAACGGTAGGCTTACTTTTATTTTTACTATCTGATCTCGTTTGCATGGCTCAATCACGTCCTGGTTGAAGTTCGTTCGCTACGCTCACTCACCTGTATGTTGGAGCTCGTTCGCTGCGCTCACTTTCCTTCAGGTTAGCTCGTTCGCTACGCTCACTTGCCTTCAGGTTAGCTCGTTCGCTACGCTCACTCGCCTCCAGGTTGCAAATTAGCTGTTGTCATAAATGTAAAAGAAATAATAGTGCTAGTGCTGCACCCTGTTGGTAATCCTTGTAACTTTAATGCTATTGAACATCACAGAACAGAACCAACTTGTTTAATTGAAACAGCTGTTAAGATTCAATAATTTCATTTCTCATAAGGTTAACATGGGCTTCCAGAAATTCCACGTCAAAAATCGACAAAAACTTGATTTTCAAGGGTTTACTGTTAAATATCTAACTGTCTCATATTCGATGAAATACGTCTAAAACCATCTCATATATGTATAGTATTTGGAAAATAAGTTTCAGGCGGGACAGTGCTATAGTTATTGAGGAGTAGTTGTAATAAAGTGCGTATTTTAGCGTTACCAAGAGAATGACAGATAGACAGACAGACAGACAGACAGACAGACAGACAGAAATTGAGATAAGGTTTGATTCGGTTTCTCTGACCTATGAAATGTAAAAATAACCAAAAAGTTCATTATTCTAAGCAATGTACAGACAAAACTCTAATTTTATTTATATAGATTAAACTACTGTCCCTGTTGCTTGAATTCGAACAATTGCTAAGTATTACAGGTGTTATTTTAAAATTAATAACAGTCATAATTTCCTGATGACTTAAAGATTTGACTCAAAGATTGTGGAAATACTCAAGATGTACATAACAGATCGATATAATCAACATATCTTGTAAATATCTTATAATTTTTCAAAAGCTGATATTGTTTTTTAATGTTTTCTACAAATAGCCTAACTCATAGCCACATTAGGTTGCCCATAATAACGATTATAAATTAAAAAAAAATACTTCTATTCTCCTTGGTGGTGTTCTATAACTTTCCTATGTTTCCATAGTTTGAAAATCGGCTCTTTCAAAGATTACTAAGAAATGAAGCACAGTGTTAATTGAGTTTTCTTTTTGGTAAATCAATTTATCCTGGCTCTCTCGCTTTTTCCATTGTAATATTTACGCCAACCCAAATTTAAATAAATTTAAATAAACCCAAATTTAAATGTTATTTCTGTGAACTTTATTTAAAAATTTATTGTTATTTAGTTTTAAGCTGTATCTCTCTGCCAATTTTAGCCTTGTAATTATTTTGTTATAGGCACTTACCCAACTTGTTTGCTTAACTATAAACAGTATTATTATCATCATTATCAATACATCTCAAATACTTTTGTACAAAAACCCAGTATTATTAGTTTATTAGTATAGCACTAGCTGTGTACCCGTTCTACGCACGGGGATCTTATAATATTCAGTTGAAACCTTCTTATATAAAGAACAGCAGTTGGTTTGCATATTTTAAGATATGCTGGCCAAACTATTATACATAGCTTCATTTTATGTTGTTTTTTGTTGTTCCGGATCGGTATGACAATCAATAAAAGGTTAAATTACCTCTGTGTCTGCCGGTCGATCCTATAACGGTAGGCTTACTTTTATTTTTACTATCTGATCTCGTTTGCATGGCTCAATCACGTCCTGGTTGAAGTTCGTTCGCTACGCTCACTCACCTGTATGTTGGAGCTCGTTCGCTGCGCTCACTTTCCTTCAGGTTAGCTCGTTCGCTACGCTCACTTGCCTTCAGGTTAGCTCGTTCGCTACGCTCACTCGCCTCCAGGTTGCAAATTAGCTGTTGTCATAAATGTAAAAGAAATAATAGTGCTAGTGCTGCACCCTGTTGGTAATCCTTGTAACTTTAATGCTATTGAACATCACAGAACAGAACCAACTTGTTTAATTGAAACAGCTGTTAAGATTCAATAATTTCATTTCTCATAAGGTTAACATGGGCTTCCAGAAATTCCACGTCAAAAATCGACAAAAACTTGATTTTCAAGGGTTTACTGTTAAATATCTAACTGTCTCATATTCGATGAAATACGTCTAAAACCATCTCATATATGTATAGTATTTGGAAAATAAGTTTCAGGCGGGACAGTGCTATAGTTATTGAGGAGTAGTTGTAATAAAGTGCGTATTTTAGCGTTACCAAGAGAATGACAGATAGACAGACAGACAGACAGACAGACAGACAGACAGAAATTGAGATAAGGTTTGATTCGGTTTCTCTGACCTATGAAATGTAAAAATAACCAAAAAGTTCATTATTCTAAGCAATGTACAGACAAAACTCTAATTTTATTTATATAGATGTTCATCTATTTACACTTGACTCTGTACATTGTACTTTGAATTGTATATTATCTCCATTGACCTGGCCTATTGTATGACATGTATACTTAATGGCAATAAACTATTTGAATTTGAATTTGAATTTGAAATAGTAAATATTTCATTTCAACCAAGTGAGTAAATGTTTGTAGCAAACTGTTAAATTAGCAAACTTATTGCCTGTTTACAATTAACATATTTTCTTCTTTTCACTTTTAATTTCTGACAACAGCTGGAGTTTCATCAACATTTTTCTTTCCCATGTTAATTTTATAGAGAAATACGAAACTTTAAACGCTCTCTAATTGTTTCCCCAAAAAAGAAAGTTTCCTGCACAACTACACAATTAATACGCTTTTTCCAATGACACCAAAAACATGTCAATCGGTTCAGTAGTTCTGGAGGAGTAATTGTCACAAAAATCCTGCTTGCGTATTAAATAAGTATAGATTATTATGTATTCAACATTTTTTATTTACTTACTTTTTAAGCACATCATCATTTGACTATGATTTTATCATCTGTGAATGAATTCCTGATCACATACTTTTCTACTTAGTTGGAGGACTTCAAGACATTTCTGCTGGCCCTGTTTGCTCTGATGAGGTACTCCATCGCAGACTTCAAATTCGACGCTCTAGAACAGGCTGACCCGATTTTGGGACCGATCTTCTTTTTCACTTACATATTCTTCATGGTCTTCATTGTTGCGGTAAGCATTGTTCAGAAACAATCACTTTATTCATTGATTGATTTTATGAACTTGGAAACCTAAAATGTAAGAACTTATGTTTTTGAAATTCTTTAAGAATGTACTGTAATATTCTTCCTGTTACAACCTCAGAGCCAGACGCTTTTTCAAACTAAAAATGTCAGGTGTCAGGCCAAAAAAGAATCTTTTAAAAGGCATATCTAAATTTTTTTTTAAATCTATGTAGCGGTAACATCTGTGTATACGGAACTATTCTCAAGTTGTGATTTGGTTTTAGCGAATTTCCCTATAGGGACGTAGCTATTACCGTAAAATATACCCTACGCTTGCATTGTACCGTAAAATAGGTCTCATGGTAAGACCTAAGCCCGGGACCGATTTACTTTTTCATTTTGATGTCCCCAGAGGCCAAAAACACCATTCGTTCAAATTTTTATATATCTATATATATATATATATATATATAATGTGTCCATCCGCACGATTACTTGAGTAATTTTTGTTCGATTTTGATAAAACTTGGTTTGAAGGTGTAAGGCGGGATAAACTTGAATGAGTTTGCGAACCAGCATGATCGGACTATGGGAACGGGGGTTTATGGGGGGTTTTATGGGGTAAAAATAGGGTTTTCCCATTTTTGACCCTAAAAACACAAAATTTCACAATTTCTTTTTAAACCATTTTGTAGAGCTTAAAAAACAAATAATTTAGTATATTGAAGCGTTATTATGAGCGTAATTGTTACGGAGAAAATTCAAAAAAATTGTAATTTTGAAATTCCCATGTTATTCTTATGGAGAAAAAGTCAACTGTTGTAGTTTGCTTGTTTATGAACATATTTTGATCAAATTTGGAAAATACATTAATTTGTTACTAAACCACAGTACCTTTTAATATTTTACATTAAAAAAAACTTTTTTACCCTCCTTGTTGCAGCAAACTTAAGTATTTATCAGGCAAATGGAAATTCGCTAAGTCTGCAGGTTTGCTGCGGCGGGGGTATTTTACATGGCTATGACTAAACTGGCATCTATGCAGTGTGGTAAAATATAGAAAGTACACAGATAGCTCTAAGCATTCAAAGCCCAAATGAAATAAATATTTATTAGTTTTATGTCGAGACTAATCGTGGGGGACCGGCTAGAATAGAAGATGAAAATTGAAGCTACTGTTCTCAGATTTGATCTAGCTCTCTTGTCTGCGAAGGGAACAAAATGGAGACCTTAATATAAAGACAACCCTCGTTACAATATTTTCAAACAACCGTTTTAACAAAACAAAAATGTAACTCACATATTTGATCTGCAGAGCATGTTTCTGGCCATCTTGGTGCCTCATTACAAAGAAGTTCTGAGTGAAGTGAGTATCGGAGGAGCTAAAACGTTCATCTCAGACATGATGCTGATCTGGCTGATGCAGCTTCTGGGTAAACTGGAATGTTCTTGGCTGCTGTCTCAGATAGAGCGAGAAGTCTACGAGGAGAAGGTCCACTCGCCTTCAGAACACGTTCGGTATTACTTGGCACAGTAAGTACTGTAGTGTCAACTATACAATCTCAACTGGCAACAGGTTAGGCAAAAAGGACAGATTATGTGGAAAATTCAATTGCTGCCTGATCAATCCAAAAATAGGTTTGAGTCATGGTATTCCATGTACCTATTTGAAGTAGCAAAATGATTAAAATATTCGGTTAATCTATTAGGTTAGTGTTATGTTAGTCTACACGTCTAAATTAGCAAAACTTGTATATTGAAGTAGTCGATTTTGAAACGATTGTGTAAAGTTAGTGTTAACAGGAGTAGAAAACTTCTAGGAGTGTTCTTAAGACTATTTACGCGAGCTACACCACTTTTCCTATGACCCTTTTTTACTTACTAACAATCACTACTCATAACTTCTAAGGGAGGTTATGTTTTCATTTACAACCTTTCATTGCCACTGACAGTGATCCAGACTCATTGTACCAACCACTAATTTCACCACTCATTAACAACTACTAAATTAGTCTTAACAGCTGATTAGTTGAAGTTTGAAGCATTACAATTCTACTTCTATTTTCTGGCAGTGGCAAAAAGGTATCGTACGCAGCTCACATGGGAAGGTGTTACAGTACTCAGATGGAATCCTGCGCTCAACAAGCTTTGCGTGGAAACTGTCATACCATGAAAAACCTATTCCCCGGCCTCGTCGCGTAATATACTATTTTTGTCATAATCCATCACGATAATAAAAAAATAAAAAAGTCAAAACACCATTAGTTTAGCAGTAAACTTGACAACTTCTGTCTACTCTAATTTGATTCCAGAGCAGGATACTCAGAGTTGGAAATTGAGCTGTTTTTCAAGAAGTATGACATTACCGACATGAAAATAGATGCTATGGATCCAACTAGAACGAACTTCAGGAAAGGCAAGTCGATTAGTTAGTTGTTGTTGTGTTGGTCATGGTAAGTTTGTGTTGTTGCGGACATTGTCCATCAATGATTAGTGAAATTGTGGCTGAGCTTTTAGAAAGGTGGGTGAAGAGAAGAGCATGAGATACATAGTTGAAGGTTAATAATGTGTTTGGAAGCTTCAGAAAGGGATTAATAGGACAGCCTCTGCTCAGATGAATAGTAGGGAGACAGGGTGGCTATCTGAGATGGACATGTGCCTCTGGGTAGGGACGTTCTGATACTGGCTTGCAGCCAATCGGAACCAATCAGACCTATATACCACAAATATATTTAGGTCCGATATTATCAGACCTAAAGTATCGATACCGTAAGTACGGAATCTAATAGTATCAAAACAAAAAACTGTTCAAACTGTGAGTGAATTCCCAAAAGTAGAATTTTACTTATACTTATTTATTTTTCCTTCTTCTCTCCCCGTTCATGGACTCTTGGGTCGCTGAATACAGCATATCAAACAACATTTTTGTCACCAGACAAAGAATAATCTTTGCTCATATAAGTACAAAATTGGCAACCATAAAACTGTTTACTATTACAGTATTAAACTCATTTAAGTTTGTTAGGAAATCCATTTAGTTTTATGAAAAAATTGGTTTAGTGATTAACAATTATTATATTGTAATACTAACTTATTACAGAGTTTTGTAACTTAAAGAAGTATTGATATGAATTCATAAGATGATGTAATTTTTTTTAACAATATTTACTCAGAAAAAGGAACAACAAACAATAAACAAAAAGTAATGACACACGTAACACAAGACTTGGAAACAAAACGAGACAACGGAACGCTAGGACTCCTCCTAACCTGGGAACAATGAATGAAATCATAAAGAGAGATTAATTGTAATACTGTTCCATTGTTTAGGAAAGATTATTACCAATTAAGCTTGTCCAAACTGAACAAAATTTATGCTATAGTGATAAAAACGACGGTAAAAATGGTAATTAAATACTTATCCCTTATAAATTTTACTAACAGCCGTTTAAACTAGGACATGCTTTATTAATTCGATACCGATACTCCAACATTTCTTTGGCTACCGCAATACCGATACCGATACAGTACTCAGAATATTAAAAGGAAAATATTGATACCTACTGTCCTGTACTCACGAGCACGTGGGAGCGAGAAGAACGCAATCACAACATCACGCTATGGTATAGTGCCGCACTACGGCCCTTCAGCAGTGCAACGGCCTAAACTTTCCCTTGCGCCTGCATCCCTCGCTCCCACACTCGTGAGTACACAACAGTAGTATCGGAACTATCGGAACATCCCTACCACCGAACGATAAGATCGCCAACTCCAGAACAATCCTTTAAACAAGTCTATCCAGTTTTAAATTCCATTAATACATATGGGGACACTATATTTTTTGTATTAACATTTCATGCATTTCAATTTGTAGTACTGATCATCAAAAAGATAACTCTATTATTGTATATTTTTAGGGGAAAAATATTAACCCTAACAAGTGCACATTTTCTCTCTTGCTATACTCACAGTTCATACAGAAGTGTAGTCAATCCTCTCCAGTTCTTGGTCTTCAGCCTTTGACCTTTGAGCTTTAACATGTATTTCCTGTTTGTTATTGAGCTTCCCTGGTTCTTTCTTAGTAAGCATTAAGCATTGAATATAACTTGCAGTGACTTTGTATTGATAACTATTATTTATGATTTAATATACAACACTCCTTTCCCCTTTAAAAAAAACTTAAAACTCTTCTTGAAAATAAAATAAAATAACTCTTCTTTTATAAATATTCGCAGCATCTTCCTTTCTAAATAAAATTCATTGTTTGTCAAATGTAAAATAAAATTAACCTTGCTGCGAACTTGTTCTCTTATCTACTAAAGATTAAGTTTCTGCGGGGCCGTTATCATCCTTTTGGACCTCCGCAGGGGTTCTTGTTCGTGAGTTATACTTCCTTTAGGTAATGGAGATTTCCGAGGTGATGGAGATTTCTGAGGTGGTAAAGATTTCCGAGGTGGTGGTGATCTCGTGGGACTCTGTGTTTGATCAACATGTATAGGAGGTTCGACCAGACTTTTGCTTGGTGATAGCACTGGTAAGGGTCGTGGAGGAGTGATTTCTGGTTCTTCTCTTCTCATAATGGGCAATTCACCTTCCAACTCTTTCAAATGATCGGCATGTACAAACCGTTTCTGTCCCCTTACGCTAACAATGTAAGTCACAGGACTGATACACTTGATAATAACTCCCGGCATCCATCTTGTTTCTTCGTTACGGATACTTTTGACCCAGACTTCCTGTCCTAGTGTGAACGACCTCCATTTTCCTCTATGTTGGTCACTGGATTCTTTTATTTTCTGTTGTTTGCTCTCCATGTTGCTTTTGAAATCTGGTTTTAGCAGAGTGAATCTGGTTCTAGGCTGAAAACCCAAAAATAGTTCCGAAGGTGTTCTACCAGTGATTGAGTGAGGTGTGTTTCGGTAAGCGAACATGAAACAATCCAGTTTGTGCTGCAAAGTCCGATTACGGCCCTTGAGGTTGTCTTGGAGTACTTGCTTTAAGAGAGACGTTTTAAAAGTACCCACCATAGACTCTGCTTGGCCGTTACTCGCCGGATGATATGGAGGGGAGAAAATGTGATTAATTCCATTGAATCTCAAAAAACTTTCAAATTCTTCTGACCTAAAAGGCGGTCCTCCGTCTGTGATGATGTTCTCCGGAACTCCGTATGCGGCAAAGCATGTACGTAATTTTTCAATAGTTTTTGAGGCGTTGGTACCATTCATTTGGTATACTTCGACCCATTTAGAGAAACTGTCCACTAGTATCAAAAAATAAACACCATCCTTCTGAGCAAAATCTAGGTGCACACGCTGCCATTTCTTTGAAGGCCACTGCCACGGCTGTAGAGGCAGCTTAGGGGCAGATTTACGGGTCATTTGACAAATCTCACAAGTTTTAACAACATTTTCAATTTGGTCATCAATTTTAGGCCACCACACAAAACTTCTGGCCAAAGCTTTCATTTTGCAAACACCAGGATGTTCTTCATGTAACATGTCTAAGAGGTGTTTTTGAAATTTAGTAGGAATGAGGACTCGATTTCCCCAAAGAATACAACCATTTTCAACTGAAAGTTCGTTCTTTCTCAGAAAGAAAGCTCTTAATGGCTCATCCTTATCTAAATGTGTAGGCCAGCCTTGAAGTGTCAAATCTAAGACTTTAGAAAACAACGGATCTCTTCGGGTTGCAAGACTTATTTCTTTTGCTGTGAGAGGTAGTTCTGGAAATGGAGCAAAAAACTGAATAACTGAAATATCTTCAGAGTTTGGGTCGAGTTTCTTAGGAAGACGTGAAAGAGCGTCAGCTTCTACAATTTCAGAACCTTTACGATAGATGATGTGGTAGTCATACGCAGACAAAATTATTGCCCAACGTTGCATGCGGGCAGCTGCAAGAACTGGGATACCCTTTTTCTCTCCTAGGAGTGCTGTTAAAGGGGCATGATCCGTAATCAATGTGAATGATCGACCAAAAATATATTTGTGAAATTTCTTTACTCCGAATATGATAGCAAGGGCTTCTTTATCTAACTGAGCATAGTTCATTTCGGATTTTGTAAGACTTCGAGAAGCATACGCAACTGGTCGGACAGATCCGTCCGGCATAGTGTGAGACATAACACTGGCGATCCCATAAGGGCTTGCATCGCATGTCACTTGGATTTTCAACTTTGGATCATAAGGTACCAAAACATTACTTTGAGTTAAAAGCAGTTTACTCTCATTAAAAGCTTTTGAACATTCTGAATTCCATTGCCAGGGTTTGGCTTTATGAAGCAACTGATGCAACGGGTATAACACCGTGGATAGGTTAGGGAGAAAACGCCCATAAAAATTCAATAAGCCTAGATAGGCTCTTAGCTGGGTAACATCGGTAGGTTCGGGTGCATCCAAAATAGCTTTAACTAGTTTATCGGTAGGGTGTATTCCGAACTCATCAATCCTATGTCCAAGGAAATTCAAACTGGGTTTAAGGAACTCACTTTTCTGGTAGTTAGCCTTAATACCGAATTCTTTAAGTCGCACTAGAAGAGCTTCGGTTTTGTTTACTGCATCTTGCATGTTGTGGCCTACAATCAAAATATCATCCAGAAAACAGTATGTACTATTTAATCCTTTTAGGATCCGGTCCATGACCGCTTGGAACTGAAAAGGTGCACTCGTAATCCCAAAGGGTAGTCTTTTGTACCTGAAAAGACCTTTGTGGGTGTTTACCGTTAAGAATGGTTGCGATTTTTCGCCTACACCTAACTGCAAATAGGCTGAAGTCAAATCAATTTTTGAAAATATTTTCCCACCTGAAAGTTTTGTGAAAATATCTTCTGATGTAGGGAGTGGATAATGCTCCGAATTTTTCAAGACTCGGTTTAAGGTTACTTTGAAATCCCCACACAGTCGCACTGATTTTCCGTCAGGTTTTAAAACACAAACCAAGGGTGTACTCCACTGGCTATCTTTGACTGGATAAATAACATCAGATTTAACAAGATTATCAAGTTCTTTTTCGACTGATTCTCTTAAAGCATATGGAACAGGTCTAGCCTTACAAAAAATTGGAGTCGCCTCTTCATCTACAGCAATCTCCGTTGTGATACCTTTAATTAGACCCATTTGCCCTTCAAAAACATCCATAAATTTACTTTTCAAGTCATTTTCTACAGAAGCGGTAGAAGTAGAAACATTATGGCTAGACTTGCCTGCATTATTTCCAGATCCAACCTGTAATATCCTGTTCCAGTCCAACTTCAACTGATGTAGCCAATTACGTCCCAACAGTGCTGGCTGTCGATGATCGGTGATTCCTACAACCACTACAGGTAGATGGTAGTCCTTTCCTTCGTGCGAAACTGCGGCTTTGAACTCTCCCAAAACATCCAATGAGTGTCCAGTGTACGACTTCAGCTGCAACTCAGTAGGCCTTAAATTTATATGACTAAATTTATCATCATAAATATGTTTAGGTAAAACAGTCATAATAGCACCGGTGTCAATAACCATATCCAATGGTTTGTCTTCGACCATCAAGGTGGTTCGATAATTGTTATCAAAAGAAACTTCATTTATCAAAGAAACACACTGTAAATCATAGCAAGTATTTACATCTTCATCTGGACTATCAGTTACAAAATTTACTCTTGACCTATTACTAGTAGGTTTAGGCTTTCCATGTTTTTGCTTACAAACACTCGACAAATGGCCTATTTTACCACAAGAGTGACATCGTGCTCCTTTGAAGAAACACATATTACAATTATGACCAGTTTTGCCACACCTGTAGCATTTATAGTCTTTCTTATTTTCCATGAGGTTATTACCTTTGACATAACCTAGTTTTGGCTTTTGGAAATTGTTTTTACCCCCACTAGGCTTAGAACTGTGTCTGTACGATTTTACAAAATCTATTTCACCCACTTCTCCCTGTGAATGAAATCCTTTGACTTCCTTCCTTGCAGCCTCTAGCCTACAAGCAAGTTCAAAGAGTTGCGAAAAATTTGAATCGGTCTCTGTCATCAACCGTTGTTGAATATCCTCGTTTTTAATCCCACTAACAAAGCGGTCCCTCATGGCATCGTTTAAGAAATTACCAAAATCACAAGAAGCAGCTAAATGTTTAATCTCCACTGCGTACTGAGCTAACGTTTCCCCATCTTTTTGGAACCTTTTGTGAAATTTACACCTTTCAGAAATAATTGACTTTTCTGGTGTGAAATGACCCTTTAAAGCCTTAATTAAATTGTCATAAGTTTCATCAGCAAGCTTTTTGGGAAGCAATAAGTTTTTCAAAACTCCAAAAACTTTAGGCCCTATAACAGTAAGGAATAATGGAACTTTTTCTGTTTCCTTCACAGAATTAGCTTTTATGTACAACTCAAATCTTTCCAAATAATTACTAAGATCTTCCACTTCTTCATTAAATTCAGAGAATTTACCAGTAACTGACATTTTGCTATGGCAAATGTTTGTTTTAGGCATGAACAGTACAGTAAAAAACTTTCCAATGTCAGGACTAGCCTAGGCCTATTCCAAGAAACATAAGTCCATTTCATTGCATTTGACTGATTTAATTTTACTTTTAACCTTTAAGAAGATTATATATTACTAAAGTAGATCCATTTGCTTCAAAAGTTACAAAAAGTTGCAAATGATTTTCCAAATTTATAATATTTCCACTTGGGATTTCCTGCAAAATGCTTTGTCTGAACAGGTTTCTGCAAAGTTCTGTACTAACATGAAAATTGATGACAAGTCCTATATTTTACATAAATACCTTGCCTTTGTGTGTTTTTGAAATAAAATATTCCTTTTTCCAGATATCAATAAAAACTCAGCTTTAAAATTTAATCAACTTATAAACTTGCAATAGTTGACTTGTAACTTTTTGTGAAAACTGAACATGTGACTTGTCTCCTCTTGATGCAGATTTTACTAATATTTCACTTTTATTTGTAGAATTTGTACTAGAAAACACTGTTTTAATAACTTTTAAACTAATATTTAAGACTTCCACAAGCTCGTCGCCAAATTATTGTATATTTTTAGGGGAAAAATATTAACCCTAACAAGTGCACATTTTCTCTCTTGCTATACTCACAGTTCATACAGAAGTGTAGTCAATCCTCTCCAGTTCTTGGTCTTCAGCCTTTGACCTTTGAGCTTTAACATGTATTTCCTGTTTGTTATTGAGCTTCCCTGGTTCTTTCTTAGTAAGCATTAAGCATTGAATATAACTTGCAGTGACTTTGTATTGATAACTATTATTTATGATTTAATATACAACATCTATTAAGATCAAATTGTATTATTTTTATAATTAGTGTCAATACATCATAAACAGGAAATTAAAGAATTATAGGACTTGTTGCCCCAAAAATTGTGAATCACTTCATCTCCTTATATGGGCAATGATAATGACTTCTTCCACATATATTCCATTAAATAAAAACATTTAAGAACCGCTGAATTCATAATACTATAAGCCTACTAATCATAATACCTTCAGGCCATTACTCTTAATTTGCTAGATTTAAAGCAAATTTATGAATTAACTTCAGCTTCATTATTTCCAGGAGAAAGGGAGGCCCCTCCACCACTGTCTCAAAAAGATATGTAAGTATTATTGAGTGCTAAAGTTCAAAACACTTTCTTCTTTAGGTATAGAATTCGAATATATACGCTACATGAAACTTTGTCGGTTGAAATCCTCCGCAATTTCCAAACCGATTTTATCCATTGACGCCTCATTGGAAAGAGCGTGTCGCGTAGATTTGCAAACTGACCTTACATTTTTGAAAAAGTCCCTTGGGCTCTGCCCCATTGGCTTTGAAAGTTCCCATGTTATCCTTATGAAGAACACAATTGTTTACATTTTGATCAGCTGTATAATTTAATTGCTGTTATTTATTTTTCAATTCAACAAAACGCATTGGGTACATTTACTGATTTTGTTGAAATTAAATATTTACTACTTAAATTTACATTCGTACATATTACAATGTAAAAAATCGAGAAAGCCAGGGCAATTTGATATATTTTACCAAAAAAGAAAAATGAATTGACAGGGTACTGTAATTCTTTGAGCAATCATTGAAAGAACCGATTTTTTAACCATGGAAACATAAGTCATAGAACGCCACCAAGTAGAAGAAATAGAGACTTTAAAGAAGATTTCCACAAACAATGAACAAGGATGTTAGCCAAAGTGTTACTATTTTCACTTATTTTGTATGAATCACGGACTTAACTTTATGATGATTGGCAAAGGAAAACACTCTAAGGCTGAAATAAACTGCTACGGCAAGGACAATAAATATATGTTAAATGTTTTCATAAAAGTCAAGTGATTTTAAAATAATATGACGACATCCAAGACACCTTAATAAAACTTTCACTGAAGGTTTTGCATTATTCACATTTAAGGGAAACAAAAAACCATCTGATCAACATTAGGCCTTTCAGTTCTGCATTTTTTCAGGTAAATATAACTTACGTTTTAACAGTAACTAGCCAAATTAATGTCAATTGAAGCAAATAAAATTGTGACAGAGAGGTTATTCTGAAAATCAGGCAGTTGTTAAGTGATGTTAACAAAATATTATCGCTATAAAGAAAGTTACTGAAATTTGTAAACATACTGGCGACAACAGGTAGCACTATGCAGACTACATTATCATTGACGAAGATCAACATGGACAACCTAATGCGGCTATAAGTGGGAAAGATTTGTAGAATACACTAAAACACCAGATCAGCTATTGAAAAATGATAAAATATTTACAAGAAATGTCGATTATATGGAACTGTTAGGTACGTAATCTATGAGTTGAGTCTTTCAAACTCATAGGAAATTATGACTTTTATTCGTTTTTAAATAAGCTATTTGTTCTTAAATACTGTAACTACTTTACTTCTTTACAATTGCTCAATTTCGAGCAACATGTACACTAGTGATACTTATTCTTGTAGCCGACAGGTTAGGTTCCATTTTTTCAACAAGGCTCTAGTCCTTTAGTGTTTGTTTAGCATTACTTCAGTTAGGCCTAGATGTTGCAGCATTAAGACTTCCTTCCATTGGTGATTGGCGGAATTTGAACCCGGGACCTCTAGGACAAAAGTCCCACGCTTTACTTTCCACATTATTAATAGGTACTTATTTATATCTATTAAAGTGAATAAGTATGTTTGCTTTTCAACAAACAACCTGTGGTTTTGTTCACAGATTGCGCTACATTTTGATTAATAAGCTTGACTATTTGGAAGCCCAATACGGAGAAGCTAGCAAACTCCTCGACAAGTTTCTACAAAAACTTGATAGTGTTAATGTTAAATAGAGATCATCATATTTAATTGTAATATTATAGACTTTAAATACAACTTTATTATTTAGCATATGAATGAAAATCATATTTTTTGTTTTAGCTTAGTTCAAACTTTTCAAGTTGCCATTTTAACTATCTTGTAAATAATATTGTCATAATCTATTGCTTCACAGAGTTGTGGCACTTGGAAAATGTAAACTTCTAAAAGAGAAAATTTTAATTTAATGTTTAAGAGATAGTAGTTTATTTATCACTTAGAGGCTTAAGTGACTCTTTTCGAAACAAGTTGGTCAAGTTCGACTACAATTGAAAAATGAGCTAAGGATCGAAAAGACAATTTACGCCACACTACACTATTTTGACGAACTTCCCACGCAAGGATTTAGTCCAGAAAACAGCTGTTTGCTGCCAGCTTAATCAAATGGGGTTTCATTGCGTACTACTGTACTGTAGAGTTTTACCGGACACCAATCAGCTGATTATACTGTATTTGGGTGGCAAGGAGTAGTTATAAACAAAAACATAACCTCTCTTAGAGGTTATGACTAGTGATTTTTAGTACTTTAGTTGGTGGTAATATATAAGGATTTGTACAGATTTAGTAGTATATAGCGTAAACTATCGTCCGTAACTCGTCCAAAATGTGTGTACTGGACTCGTATGGTAATCCCGTACTCGACTTCGTCTCACACGGGAACGACCACACTCGTCCGGTAAACACTTATTTTCAGGACTAGTATATACGTATATACTATTTTGCCTATGTGAAGAACTATATTTTTAGTTTTACTGCACCAATATAAATTAAATTAAATAAGATTGTTTACGATTTATTTTCTTGTATAAATTAAACAAAATGGTTATCTTTTTTTAGCAAATTTCCCTATAGGGAAGTAGCTATTACCATAGGTCTCATGGTAAGACCTAGGCCCGGGACCGATTTACTTTTTCGTTTTGATGTCCCCAGAGGCCAAAAACACCATTTGTTCAAATTTTTATATATCATCTATATATCTTACTAATATTATAAATCTGAAAGTTTGTGAGTTTGTGTGTATGTTTGTGTGTATGTTTGTGTGTGTGTTTGTGTGTGTGTTTGTTGCTCAATCACGCATAAACTACTGGACGGATTGGGCTGAAATTTGGCATGCTGATAGCTCACATTCCCGATTAACATTAAAGCATATTCTTATCTCAAAAACCCTTTCGGGCTCCGCCCCAGTGGCTCTGTAGTTCCCCATGTTAATCTTATGATTTTTCATATTTAAAAGGAATTAATGAATCTTAACAGCTGTCTCAATTAAACAAGTTGGTTCTGTTCTATGATGTTCAACAGCATAAAAGTTACAAGGATTACCAACAGGGTGCAGCACTATTAATTTTTTTGTTAATTTATGACAACAGCTAATTTCCAACCAAAAGGTGAGTGAGCATAGCGAACGAACTTCAACCTTGAGGCGAGTTAGCGTAGCGAACGAGCTAACCTGAAGGCAAGTGAGCGCAGCGAACGAGCTCCAACCTAAAGGTGAGTGAGCGTAGCGAACGAACTTCAACCAGGACGTGAATGAGCCATGCGAATACTTATGAAGTTAAACGGGGCGAAGCCCGCGGGTACAGCTAGTAGAGATATATATGTGTCCGCCCTGACGATAACTTGAGTAATTTTTGTCCGATTTTGATAAAATTTGGTTTGAAGTTTGAAGGTGTAAGGCGGGATAAAATTGAATGAGTTCGCAAACCAGCATGATCGGACCATGGGAATGGGGTTTAACGGGGGGTTTTATTGGGTGAAAATGGGTTTTACTAAATTTTTACCCTTAAAACACTAAATTTATAAATTTTTCTCCAGACCTTTTTAAGGAGCTTAAAAAAACAAATAATTTAGTATATATCAAAGTGTTTTTGTACAGTGAATGGTTACGGAGAAAATTCAAAAAATTGTAAATTTAAAATTCCCATGTTATTCTTATGGAGAATATTGTAAAATGTTGTAGTTGGCTTGTTTAAGGATATATTTTGATCAAGCTTGGCGGATTTATTTTTTCATACTAAGGTATTAATATTTCAATAAAAAACACACTTTATTAGTTTCCCTGTAGCAGATAACCTAGGTACTCGAAACACAAATGTTAATTTAATAGATTAATTGAAAATCAATCCAGGCAAAAGGAAATTCGCTTAGTCGGCAGGTTTGCTGCAGCAGGGGTATTTAGTTTTGCTAAGGTTTACATTAGTTTATTGTAATTAGCTTTGCTTTATTACATAAAGCCTATTGCTGATATATTGATGATTGCGCCAAATACTAGATACTTTACTAAATTATCCTAACACTCATTCCGAATGGTACTAGAGTAAATCTTGTTCTGTATTGTGACAAAAAAAAAAAAAAAAAAAATTGGAAGTGGTTTAATGATCATTTCTATAAAATTAGTTTTAACGTCTTTTTGCCACTGCTTCGTGCCCCTCGCAAATTAATAGATTTGTAAGGTATTAAAAAGAACTATGAAAAAATTAGTCAAACAATATTTTATATTTTGCTTATAAAACTTTAAACAATAAATATTATATTCTTAATTACTATACAAACAAGTTGAGGGCTTTTAGTTTCTACGAAAAAGGGTCAAATTAATATTGTCAACTGAAAACATCATCATTATTATCCCACAACATTTATTGCCTGAAAACTGTCCTTTCATCTGAATAATATGACCCAAAGAAATGTAAACACTAGGGAAAAATGTCAAAAAGCTTATAGCTAGTTATCAAAACGATTCCTATTAAGACAATTACTTCTTTGCCTTAATAGAGACGGAACAATAAACTAACCCAGTTAGCGATATTAACCAGCAATTCAGCACACTCAATATAATCTTAATACAAATGGATTACAAATCCTTTCTTCAATGAAAAAATAATATTTCTCACCGTTATTCAAGATTTGTATTGTGAGTGAATATGAAAAAGAAGTCTTATTTATTTGAATAAAGGATCCTAATGTACTGGTTGCTACTAGGCCTTTAACATTGACTAACAAAAAATGTATTATGCACGGTACTTTCAGTCGGTTTGTTACTATAATTATGTATAGTGTATTATTTCTTAATACCTAATTTAACAACAATAAAGGATCAAATTTATATGATTTCCAAATGAAATTTTTGAGTATTGCTTATGCCATCACTCGCTTCAAAAAATTCCAACCACATCCATATATTTAAAGAACAATTTCAACTTAAGCAAAAAAAGATGTCAAGCTAAAACAATTTCTGTGTTATATTTTTATACCTGCTAATAAAAATTAAGATGCATAATTCAACTCAGACACAGACATTTATTGTATCTATGAGCACTTGAATTTTAAGGAAGCTAGCTGGATTCCCCCTAAAAAAGATACAATTTTAAAAACCACAAGTGATGCAGATAAAACTAAAACATTAAGTTGAATCTTAAATCTTTTTTCTCTACCTTCCACAAAATTCTTTAATTTCTGAATCCAAAAACCTTTCAGCTAAGCTTGATTGTAATTTCATTTGGAAATCAACTACAGTAGAGCCCTGGTTAACCTAAACCCGGGTTAACAGAGCTAAAATATAAGTAATACATTATGTAAAATGCTTTGGTAATTTCATTTGTTTGGTTCAAATATTTTCTAACCCATTTAAAATCTGTAAATTTAAGATCTGTAGTCTATGTGGATGGGCAAATGCAAGGTTAAAAGAGGCCGCCAACCACTTAATACTGTAGCTGAAATACAACACTGTAGGCCACACTGTACACTGTACACTGTAACACTGTAAAACACTGTATTATATAGTAGTGATGGTCAAAACCAGAAAATTTGTATCACAAAACCTAGACGCAAACGTATTTACAAAATAATACAGGTAATAATAAAATGTTAAATATGCAATCAAACTGAAAGAGGTCCACTCCTGACACTGACATAATAACATAAATATGTGACTGAAAAACCCAAAACAACATAATTTGTTATAACATTAAAATAAATTAAGCTCCTGACACCAACATAAACATGAATATTAGATTAATTAGAACATTTAGTGGTCAATATTTATTTGTTTATTAAATATCACTATGAAACTGAGTTGTATGTTATTCCAGTTATAGTATTTAAGATGCCTTTTGAAGTTCCGAATCAGAATACAATTTACTGTATTTTGTTAATGGTGATTAGTTTGATCTCAGCTTGTGTGGAAAGTGGAAACAGTTTTAGACACAATAATAATGATGCAAAATATGTCAGCAGTTTCAAGAATAAAACTGCCAAAATCTTCAATTTCGAAACTTTTGAATCTCTAAACTCAGTGATCGAATCTCGAGATTTGAGATTCGGTTTTGACACGTCACTATTATATAGGCCTAGACATTGTTTTTTAAATTCATTTTTTATATACACCATGGGGATTCTACTGTATGTCTTAAAGCTACTAAAAACACAATATCACAAATTAACACAAAATTGTCAAAATGGAACAATGAACTCAAATGAATCCGATTGGACAAATACATAGGCTATTTTTAGCATATGACGGCTTAACCAAAAAATTGGTTATCCGAAACGGCTCTCCTCCCTTTATTTCGGTTAACCGGGATTCTACTGTATGTCTTAAAGCTACTACAAACACAATATCACAAATTAACACAAAATTGTCGAAATGGAACAATGAACTCAAATGAATCCGATTGGACAAAAACCAATCAAATGATGAACTAAATAATTTGACTCGAAGGTATCACAACCTGTAGTGGGATGATGTATCAGTCAGGTAATGTCAGGTGAGGTAGGGGAGTTACTGAGGCACTAGGGGCGACATTCCGACAGGCACGACTCCCGGGCCTGTCTCTAGGTTCTTGAGCAGCTGGGCGAGCCAGTGTTTGGTCGACTTGTCTTCCTGCAGACAAGTGGCGAAGGTTGCGTCGCGCAGCTGGTCCGGCAGACATTGTCGCAAAGCCTCTCTGGCTCTGAAAAAGTAATTGGTATCACCATTATGACTTAAGTTGTGTATAGGTATTGGGCACATCATGAATACCAAATAGTTATTTTTGAAATCATTGTGTTATTAGAAAATAAGGGTCAATTAATTGATCTTTTAAGGTTCCCCAGATGATCACAAAACAAGAGGAGAGCTTACACTAAGGTTGTTTTTTTTTACCGGGAATGAGAATAATCCAGTTCCATGGATTGCTGTCAATCATTACTTATAATTTTGCTATGGGTAAAATTAAAGAGAAACACATAGATTGTTTATGGTTTTTATACTGGACTGGACTCAATAGAGTTGGTCTTAGTAACCCAGATCATCCACTCAATTCCATACTCAACTTGCATTCATATTCACAATGAAATATACACTAATGAAGTGCTGTCTCAATGTAATGTTGATGGTGATAATTTTAATTAGGCCAAATTAAACTCAAATAAACGTCCAAAGGTTGTCCTTAAACCATTAAAATTAATGTTCTGCATTCATTCTACATTCAACTCTCACCAAAAACAAACTCAACCTACCGAGCATTGTCCGAGAGTCGCAGGTAACAACGAACAACATGTTTCAACAGACGAGCAGACGGGTCTTTGGCCAAAGAGAGCACCATTTTCCCCTGGAAGATTAAACAAGTTGATTAATGCAAGTTTTAAGTACAAAATGGTAATATTCCTTTGATTTTATAATAATTCAAATGTATATTAATAGTGGAAGTCTACGGTGCCGGAAAAGACGGAACAGAATTGATCCTTGAACCACAAATGGTACGGCTTGATCTTGGTAATAGATCAGTTTCATAAAGTTCTCAAGGAAGACAAAGAAAGGAGTCAGATTAGATAGAAACACTTGCATTTAGAGGGGAAAAGGCAAAACCGCAAAAACCATATAAAATCAATTATTTTTTAGAACTTATTATTTTGACATATTTGTGTTTTACTACTCCTCTTTTTCATATTGTATTTTAGCTTGTAGGTAATATTTCTTCCGAATTAATGATCCTGCTTATTTTATTTTATTTATTTTTTTTTTTTGTAAACAAAATACAACCGACTTCAAACGCTCTAAAAAGAATGAAATATTTCAATTAAGTAAAGTTTTGTAATAGTCAAGTTCACGTATTTAAGGCGCGGCTCTATGGTGATTTTTGACATATCATACTCAAAATTTAAAAGAGGATGTCCACATTGCATGTGATTATTTATTGCCTTCTCTGCTCAAATACAAACAAAATAAATGTTGAATATTTGAGGTTTTCAACATTTTTTACCGAAACAAAACACTTAAAAAACATAATGCTATATGGTACCAAATAGAAACTCTCCAGGTTATTTTGGTGGTGGAACTTGCTGATTGGTAAAAGAATCACAGAGAAATTGATGAACATACATAGAAAAACAATACTTTCTCCATATACTATGGCATGGGAGGAAGGTGAAAACATTGCCACAAACACTTTGACAACCTGATCCTTTTGTTGGTAGTGGGGAAGTCGGTTAAAAAGATGCAATTACATAGACCAAGAGCAATTGAATCTGTTATAACTGTAGGCCTATACTCCAGGAACTATTAAATGGTTACTTACCAAAATCGAGGCAATGCGATAAAAGCGATCGAGTATCTTCTGAAGAATGAAATTAGTGAACATTAGAGGTGTGCAAGCGGCTCGATTTTCGAGCCGAGCCGAGCCTAGCCTACAAGCTTGAGAGATTGAGCCTAAAGTCGGAAAATCGAGCTCAAGCCAAGCTTTTACGATCGCGATCATAAAACACATCTGCAAAGTTCGCACGGTCAAAAAATTCACGCTTTTGCCGTGATTTCGGAAGACTTCTATGTCCGAATTTAATAAATAATATTGTGTTGATGTTTAATATTTAATATTAATTAATATTAATATTTAATTCCCATCCCTACAAAAAAAAAAAAAAAAAAAAAAAAAAAAACTATCCAACTTAATATAAAGCTATGATAGTGGTTTAAATACCTTATTCTTGCAATCCAATTGTTGTCTTCACAACTAGTTTCAACCTGCTAGGAGGTCATCATCAGGTGAGTACAAGGATGATATTACTTCATATGAAGGTCGTCAGTAACAGTTTTTTCACATTCACACAAACACACGACGAATAAACACATAGTGCGCACACATATACGGCCGATAAAAACATTTAACTCGACAAGCGGACCCGTGTTGATAATGCGGAAGTTGCGTCTAGACTGTAGGGTAAACAGCTGGTCAAGCATCACGCGCATTTTCTTATCGCTCGTCGGTTCCATTCCCATTGTCTCTGCCCTCCCCTTCCCTCTCCAGTATTTCTATTGCAGTGTTGTATATGACGTTTGAATTAAAATAAAGTTGGTCGTTTAAAACATTATCCATGTCTGATTTGACGGCTCTATATATCTCGAATTCTTCCAAGGTGTTAATTTTAAACTTGTCCTGTGACGTATGTAAAATTTCCATGTTTTCATTAATGCTGCTGTAATTATGCTGATGAGTAATTAAATGTTCGGCAAAGGTTGAAGTTTGTTTTGAGGTGGTCTTCTTTGGTACGTGCTCCTTAAAGCGTTTGGAGAAAGAGCGGGAAGTTTGGCCTATGTAATACTTATTACAATCTGAACAGTTGATTTTGTAAACACCACTTTTTTCATATTTAAGTTTAGTTGTATTTGGTCTTTCTTTCAGAAGTGGTCCAAGATTGTTTTTTGTTCTAAAGGATAGAGTTATGTTATTTTTCCCCATTAATGATTTGAATTTATTACTAAGACACGAATTATAGTCAGCTGATAAGAACTTTTTATTTTGGATCACTCTTTCTGTTTTGTTTTGGTGTTTCAAAATTAATTTATCTATTAACGTGGTCGTGTATCCATTGGAGACGGCAATGTGTTTTATGATGTTTATCTCTTCGTTGTAATCGTCCGTGCTCATTGGAATTGATAACAATCTATTTACAAAACAATGATATGCGGCTAATTTCTGTGAAAATGGATGGTGTGAGTCTGAATGTATTGTTTGGTCGGAGCAGGTGGGTTTTCGGTAGATTTTAAACTGTAAGCTGTCATTATGTTTTGATATGGTAAGGTCCAGAAAATTAATGGAATTATTTTTCTCCTCTTATAATGTGAACTTAATATTATTGTGAATATGGCATAAATAAGCATTTAGAAGGGATAGCTGTCTGTTGTTACCATTGAACAGGACAATGGTATCGTCTACATATCGATAGTAGAAAATTATTTTGTTCTTATATCGGTTGGAGTCAGTAAACAAGTGCTGGTTCTCGATGTGGTTTAAGAATACTTCAGAAAGAATGCTGGAGAGGGGGGAGCCCATGGCTAGGCCGTCATTTTGTAAGTAGAACTTATCTTGAAACTGGAAGTAGTTTTGTTTTAATATCGTATTTAATAGTGATATTAACTCATTGATGGCGTTGGGTGACAATTTGGAATTTTTTCGAAGGTTTTGTTCAAGAATCTGCACGGTTTCTTTGACGGGTACATTCGTGTATAAATTGACAATATCAAAAGATGCCAACTTATAATTTCCGCTAATTTGTTGATTTTTTATTTTTTCAACGAGTTCAATACTGTTCTTAACACTGTGATTATTTTCCAGCACAATTTCTTTCCTTATAATTTTATCTAATCTCTTAGCTACTTTATATGCTGGAGAAGGCATGAAATTTACTAAAGGTCGAATTCCGAAAATTCACAAACCAGATGTCCCAATTCGACCTTTAGTAAATTCCCGCTCTTTCTCCAAACGCTTTAAGGAGCACGTACCAAAGAAGACCACCTCAAAACAAACTTCAACCTTTGCCGAACATTTAATTACTCATCAGCATAATTACAGCAGCATTAATGAAAACATGGAAATTTTACATACGTCACAGGACAAGTTTAAAATTAACACCCTGGAAGAATTCGAGATATATAGAGCCGTCAAATCAGACATGGATAATGTTTTAAACGACCAACTTTATTTTAATTCAAACGTCATATACAACACTGCAATAGAAATACTGGAGAGGGAAGGGGAGGGCAGAGACAATGGGAATGGAACCGACGAGCGATAAGAAAATGCGCGTGATGCTTGACCAGCTGTTTACCCTACAGTCTAGACGCAACTTCCGCATTATCAACACGGGTCCGCTTGTCGAGTTAAATGTTTTTATCGGCCGTATATGTGTGCGCACTATGTGTTTATTCGTCGTGTGTTTGTGTGAATGTGAAAAAACTGTTACTGACGACCTTCATATGAAGTAATATCATCCTTGTACTCACCTGATGATGACCTCCTAGCAGGTTGAAACTAGTTGTGAAGACAACAATTGGATTGCAAGAATAAGGTATTTAAACCACTATCATAGTTATTATTCACAATCCGGAGGCTACTCACACCACAATTAATATAAAGGCTAGTCCAGCCCAGCGTAAACTAAATGTTCAACAAACAACCACCCATATCGTCATTCGGCAGAGCTAGCAACAGGTCTACTATTACTACCTACTTTCCTACAACAGTCAAAGTCAACAATACGGTACTGTAAGTTGAACAAAATTAAAGTATTGAATGAATCTATCGAGTTACAATAGTCGATTGTCAATAAGGCAGTTTTTACAACTACTGTAGTGGCAAAAATGAAGTACCTACAGTATTTATTTTCCCAAAATTAACTACACGTTTTCTAATGAGTTTACATAAACATTTTAAATTAGTCACATTTTTTAATGAGTTTACATAAACATTCTTCAAATTAGTCAAACTATTACCTTTTGTTACAGATTAAGAGCTACCTATAGCAATCATAGGATAATTGTTCTGACATTCAATTCACTATAATATAGTGGAATGATACATCTTAACTTTAAATTGTTTAATCTTAACTAAAAAAGGTTTTTGACTAGGCTTAACTTATTATTTTTAATTGCGTTTATTTATAATAGAAAAAAGCTCGGCTCGGTAAAGCTCAAGAGCTTTTTTTCATAAGCTCGGTTCGAAAATCTCAGGCTCGCGCACTTCTAGTGAACATACATAGAAAAAAAAACATTGCCACAAACAAATTGAGAACCTCCTCCTTTTGTTGGTAGTGGGGAAGTCGGTTAAAAAGATGCAATTACATAGACCAAGAACAATTGAATCTGTTAAAACTGGCCTATACTCCAGGAACTATTAAATGGTTACTTACCAAAATCATGGCAACGTGAGAGAAGCGATCGTAAGTCTGGCAGATGTAAGAGAGACCACTGTCGTCGAGGAGTATCTTCTGAAGGATGAAAGTTGCAACAGTCTTGGACAGTTCAGATCCTGACTCCATGATGCGGAGACAAAGGGGGATTATTTCGGTGGTCAATAGGAACGTAATCACTTCCTGCTCATCAGTCTGTAATCATTATCTGTCAATTAGTACAAAGTTTAATAAAAAATATAAATTTAAAAAAATAGGATGATGACAATTTTTAGATCTTAGCCTAATTTAAAACTCAGTTAAGATTATTTTCATTTAGACGTGGTCGTAATTGACTTTTCAGAAATCAATAAACACAAGCAAATATTTATCAAACCAAATAGGCTCAACTTCAAATGAAGTTAAAAAACATTTATAAAAAAAAACAACAGAAAATTTTGCCACGACCATGAAAGACTTTGATGATGTTTCCGTGACTGATCAAGATATTGTGGATTTCACAGAGAACACAGAAGATGTGTTCACGGCCAAAGAAAATGGCCTCTTTTAATCATTTTTTTATACAGGTAATTTGTTAAAAAGATCTTCATTTACCTTTGATGAGGTATTTAATTAGTAATTGATATTATAAGGCCTTACCTTAGCAATCCTGATTTTGATCCGAAATTAATTTCGGGCCCGAAGGTCCATCATCAGTCGGAATCTAGTAGACCAAATTTTTCTAAAATAGAATCCACCCGTTGGGTTTTGTAGAAAGTTTCACAACATTTACGACAATACAAGTCATAGTCGGTACGAAAAGAGTAAAACAATTAGGGTTATAAACCATAGTTTTTATAGGCCTAATGTCAGATAACCTCACTTTGGTTAGAGAACCTTTTGCTGGCAAACTGTCAAAATCAACGGGATTGCAGGTTATGTTGACTACGGATTGGAAAGATTCTGGTCTTAATTGGATATGGATCGAAATAGACACGTGTTTGATTGATTATTTATTTTCAGCAATGTGTCAATAATCTTTTCGTACCGACCATGACTTGTAGGCCTATTGTCTTAAATGTTGTGAAACTTTCTACGAAACCCAACGGGTGGATTCTATTTTAGAAAAATTTTGTCTGATAGATTCGGACTGATGATGGACCTTCGGGCCCGAAATTAATTTCGGATCAAAAAACAGCATTGCTAAGGTAAGGCCTTATAATATCAATTAACATATAAGCAATCCAGAGGCTAAAATGATTGGTGATTGATTTAGGCCTAGTGTGTTTTAAAGATAATTGTGTTTTCATTGCTGCCTAATTTTTTTTCTTTGCTACAAAAACACTTCTCACTTACCCCAAAATTACTTTGTTTAGCCTAATGATAAAAAAAGTGGTGGTTGTGGTGTAACCAATTCATACAGAAAATTCAGTAACATTTTGATATAATGTTATTGGCATCGAGAATGGAATAGGCTACAATTTTATCGAGACATCTCTATTATAATTGTGGCTATAGGATTAAACCACTAATTACCAAACGCCTATTATTAAAACTCACAACACTGGGTCATCCATAACTAATTTCACACATCTTGTCATCATCATTACTTTCACCTTCAGATCTTGGGCCAAAATCGGGTTAATTTTGAAATTATAGATTTTTTTGCAAATTAAGTTTTATTCTACAATCAATATCTCTCGAGGTCGCAAACAAAAACATACTTGCGATCATGGTAAAATTGTAAACAAGTATCACGGTCTCAGCAAAATCATTAAGATACCACACAGTCGCAGCAAGATTATGAATTTTCATTTGCACAATCTTCACAGATAGCGATTCTGCGTCATAATTGAGCCGTTCCCACATCTGTTCCCAAAATGTGAATAACCCAATCCGAACTTGGCCTGAACATTAATAGCCTGAACCAATATTTTAAGAAAACTGTTGGCCAATTGTACAACTTTGGGGCAATGGCTAAAATGTTAAGCATCACTACAATTCTCTACTCACAGAAAGTAAGCTAAATAAAAACAGATAGGCCTAAATCCAACAATTTGCTTACCTTCACTAAAGCGCCAATGACGCCCAGGCTAGTCAAGCGGAGATATTCAAATGGCCTGGTCTTGCTGACAGTGTGGAGGAAGGGATAGAGGAACAGCGGGATGTGCGCTTGCAGGAAGGCACTACGAGTCTCCGGATGAGACGCCACACATTGCAGCAAGGCGAGGGCATTGCATACTCGGTTTGACTGGTGGGCCGTTAGAGTAGCTGGGTTGATGGCTGGGTATATGTTGATGATCTCTTGTAGCAAGGCAGCTGTCGTGCCAAACGAGTGCCACAACATGGGTGCCAGGTCCGGCACCACCTCACGCTTCTTGCTGTAAAACACAGTTACGGTGAAATATCACTACAAACATACTGTTCACTAAAACCATCTAGCCTCACTATCATCCTCAGCCTTCTTGCTATATAACTATAATTTTACATTGACTTTGGGATGCTGAAGTCGACATCCCGTCCATACTTATTTGCATTTTATAAAACAACATGGACCTCGTTGAAGGAGGCACTCACAAAAAAATTTGGCAGGCTACAATTTAAATTTGATTTTATCTCCCTTGGTTCAGTTTCCTGTGATAGACTAATAGATGTCACAAGGAAGGAAAATAGCATAGTTTAACAACTTACAATAAGTTGATCTTACAGTTTGTCTAGTTTTAAATTATATGGTTTAGTAAAAATCTGTTATTTACATTAGCTCTCGGTTGCTCAATTCAACTAGCTTACTTTAATTAATCTAATGTTTGCCTACCATCACCTTCTTTGACTAGGCTATGCACGGAACAACTCTCAGCTCTCATACTTACAAGCACAACACTTTCATTATACCTACAAATTAATTTGTAAATAATAATAAAAAATACAATAATATCAACACATGTACATCCAGAACTGGTTATGAAAATATACGACACTTTATAATTTTTAATTAGGCTAATAGCCCATGAAACTATATTTATTGGCTATTATTATTATGTTTTATATCATGATCTGCTTAATCGGGCTTTTAAATACAACGTAGTAGTAGAGATATCAATCCGTTAAGTCCAGAGAGCCATGATTTCAGTGACCTGTGTGAGCTGATATGGACTGACTAGAGAGACTAGAGAAGTACCTAACTATCAAGTTTACTCAAGGTAATATTGTTGATTCTGCTTTTGACTCACTCTACCCATCTGTGATGAACAACGGCCAACCTCAGCTATGCTGACTGAAAGTGGGAGACTAAAATAATGTTACAACTCAATTCATCTCAGTCAACACTACCTATCTGTTGACTTGTTATATATGACTCTGTAGGTCCAACGAGTATTCTATCAGGCCTACTTGATAAATCTACTCGCCTTATACTTCAATACCTACTTCATATTATTTAACGAATTCTGGTTCTGGTGTTTATATCAACATGGTAAGTTTTTATCCCTTCAAAATTTGGTAGGTACCTCACAACATCAATAGGACTGGCTCAAAATACCTGAGTTCCAGCAAAGCATTTTCTCTCGTCTCAGGGTTGGCAAGTTCAATAATCCATTGATAGACCTTCTCCCGGTCCACTGATTGTTGGGCAAGTACAGTCGGGCTCTGTTGGGAACTCATGAAGCGCTATAGTAAACAAAAATAAGTAGGCTAGGTAAGTCAGGGCTATTTATAAATCCTATTGCTATAACTTAAATAATTAGGCCTAACAATTAAAAATATTTCCTAGGCATTGAATGCCTAGCTAAGGCTCGTCACACACTGCGTCCGGTATGGTTAATTCTGATCCAGTGTTTTTCGCCGGATCCGGCAAATTTCCACACACTGAATCAGGCGTTCCAGTTCCGGCGACCAGTCTATGCGAGAACAGCGGCGACTGGCCTAGAAGATTTGTGTACAGGTTTGCATTGCATTGTTCTGTTTCAATAAGATTTTCCATCTCATATTTACTTAACAATGATGACATTCTGCCTTAAAATCCTCCCAAATATTTTCCTTCATAGGCTTACTAAGTTGAGTAGTCCTTGTGGCCCAGGCCATATAGCACAGGGTAGGCCTACTCCTGTAGCACAATCAGTTTCTCTTCTAATGCCATTTTGTAACAAAACGTACTCGTATAACGTAAACAATCACCACAAAACCCCGTCTGCTGCTACTGTCAGTGCCTACTGAGTACCCTGGTGAGTAGAAGTTGTCTGCGCATGCGCGAGACACCCCGTGGTCGCGTGCAACTGTACTCTGCAACGTCGGGCCCACGGTTGCATGTGACTGGTTTCAAACTTATTGAGAAATCGCAAACAGTTGCGTCGTGTGCGCCTCCCCACTGAAATACATCGCCGATGTCACAAAACAGTTGCACGCGCAACTGGTTTGCAACGACAGTTGTGAAACAGTCACACCGTGTGCGCTGGGCCTATGAGCTCAGCCATTGCCAAGGGAACCTTGGGGAAGCCTATAGCTTAGAATGTGAGCTTTATTTTGGTGTATAGGTTGGTATCTTACTAAAATTTCCCATAAAATCCCGCCTGACTTTTGTCCCGGTTTCGGGTATTTTCTCTCTTCAAGCCATATTACAAGGTCACTGGCTACTTATCCAGGAAGTGCTGCTACCTTTGGGTGTTTTAGGGAACTACGTCCAATCTCGGGGTAACCTAGTTACAATCACCGCTGCTGTTTTGTTATTCTTCAGATTGAAATATTTGAATGCCAATTGTGTTCGCTGCTAGGGTGCCGCTCCGGCCTCGCCGCCATTGGCTAGCGCCTGTTGGAATGCCTGCCGCACTGAACGTGTTTAACCGAAATGCAATGAATAAGTTATGTGAGGTCCTTTAGGTTACTTCCCATTTTTGATATCCACTTAAGACTAGGCTGACCTGCAAGCTAAGTTATGGAGAAAAGATTTAAGAACTTAGGATGTAGGTTATTTCTTAACTGAAAAGTAAGATAATGTAACTTAAAAGGACTTGGTCTGGGCTAAAGTTAGAAATTATGTTACAACCCAACCATAAGTTACGTACCTAAGAACTTAACTTAAGTTACTTCACTGTAATGCGCATCGATTGTTGATGTTTATGAACCATCGATGTTTTCTATCCATGGTAGGCCTATATAGCCCTAACTTAACCGATTTTGTCGATGTTATCATCAAACATTGATTTTTTTGCCCAAGTATTGAAATTTATGGTTTATAGGCCTAAGTTATCAATGTTTTCCAATACCGAATTGGCTGTAGGCTATTAAGTTAGTTAGGTTAGGAGTAACATGAAAATCTGAAAAAAAACATTGATAGACTTTTTAAGGCTTAAGTTAACCCTCCGAGTGTCCATAGTTTAGGCCTTAATGTCCGCCTATTTTTGGCGCATTTGCAAGGTTTTATTAAAACGGATCTGAAAATCTTAAAACAATGTTAATTCTACTGTTGTTCTATATACCATTTTGTTTGGAAAATCATGGGCTTCAATATCATACATAAAACCTAAGGAATATTTGTTTCCAAAAAATTTGTTTAGGTAGGCCTAAAAATAAAAATTATTTTGGAAAAATTGAAAAAAAATAAGTTTGCGCTCAATGAAATTGTATAAATTGTAGGCCTATAAATATTTGAAAATAGCCACTTTGTTCTAAATTTTATGAGGATTACAAATATATAATAATATAAGGAAGTAGATTTGCAAATAAATAAGTTATGGGCAAAAAACAGATTTCAGTACATAGCGTTTAGCTAAGAATGCATAGCCTAACCATAGCTAGGAATCTGGCTGATAATTTACATCAATATCACTACCTAGTTCTTCAGGATCATCAACCAGCCCTTCAAAATCACTTAAATCTTCTTATAATGCACCACGTATAACTTATCACTACTTTTGATTTTTAACACTAAAACAATGATAAATAAACATAATAAAACACATCAGTCATCGGTCCGAGGTTAACTAACCTGTTTACAAATACGCACGTCAGCTGTCTGCTACAATTACGATCGGCTTGGAGAACATAAAGCGCTTAGAGACAGACCTCTGGAGAAAGCTTAGAGTATAATGAAAAGAACGATACCAAACTCGATCCAGTTCAATCCGATTTTGTCAGTCATAGAGCCTTCGCCGTAAACAGTGTTCGTGAGTCGCTGCAGCGACGCATGACACTCGGAGGGTTAACTAAGTTAAACATTTTTGTTTTAGCGAACATTTTAACATAACGTCGATGGTTAACCTATTGACTTGTCCATTTTTAGCCCTGTCAGCACCCTAAGCTTAAGTAGGCCTAAGTATCTAATAGTAGCGCCCCTTTGCAATTTAAAAGAGGATGTCCACTGACCGTTAAAACCAGTAATTTTAACCCTTAGAGTGCCAGGCGAGAAATAAAAGTAACGCTCAAAAAATGCCGATGATTTTTCCCAAAGGTCGCACTAAAAATGCCGAGCGCGATCTGGCGATTTTTAGGCTAAAATTTCGTAAAAATTGAATTTTCGATATTTCGACCAACGAAAATCGATGTATCGCATCTAAGTTAGTAACTTTCGACTCAATGTTAATATATGGGTTAAAAGAATCCGAGTAACTTATCCATTCGGTTGTTATGACAACTGTTAGATCATTACGAAACGTCCGGTCAGCCGGACGTTGGCACTTTTGGCTCGTTCTAAAAACGTCCGGTCGGCCGGACGTCGGCACTTTTGGCTCGTTTTAAAAACGTTCGGTAGCCTGGACGTTGGCACTCAAAGGGTTAAGTCTAGCCTAGGCTAGGTTTATTTTTAAAGATTAAAAAAACATTGATTAAAGCCTAGGCCTACCTAATTTGATGTTTCAGCCCTGAAAACATCGTTTTCGATAAGATGTTAAATTAACTTAAATATCGGCACATCAATAGTTGACCTATCGACAGGTAGGTTTTTGACCCTAGCACAACTAAGTTAGCCTTAGGCCTACTTAGTAGTTTAGCACGCTTTTCCAATCAGTTAACTTACATATTAACAGGGTGTCCACCGGCCGGGAAAACCAGTCATACACTTCAGTTATGTGTTACACTTCCATATCTGTTGGCACAAACAACCGAACGAGTAGCCTAATATTGATTGTTCAATTCGATATAGGCCTAACTTATCAATCAATATTTCCATTCGGTTGTTTGTGCCAACAGATATAGAAGTGTACCCACCTAAATTAGGCCTATGAGCTAAAATTATAGGAACGGAACTTTAAGGTGTCCAATTAACATAGGCCTACAGAGTAAATTACAAGCCTAGGTCTATGTAGGCCTAGGATGTTTAAGTTAGCCTAACTTACTGTTGGTGACTTACCATTCTTTGTAGGCCTACCCTGATCCAAAATTAGTGCATGCAGCTAGGATAACAAGTTTAAGCACGGTCCTAATACTGGGTATTAGGCCTACGCGAAAAAGGGAAAAGAAAAATTCAACTATGATATGATTCAAATTGATGAAAACGGGGAGAAGTGGCAATTTACCCTTGCCAGAAACGTGGTCTCCACTGTAAAAATGGGTTATAGTATAGAGTTTTGTGAGCAAATATCCGAAGGATCAGGTCAAATGTTAATAAATTAGAATTATTCAGTTTAGTCAGAAACGCGAACTATGCTTGCAGTTGCAATAGCTTTTTTCGTTCGCTGCAGCTCAAACCAAACACACTACAGCAAGAGCAAACAAACAGCAAGAGCAAACGGCAAAACAGCAAAACGCAGAGAGAAGAGATGGAGGATGGATGATGGCGAAAATGGCGATGGCGATCGGCGATGGCGGCAATGAGGGAGGATGAAGGAGCAGGAGCTGGAAGGAAAAGGAGAGAGAGCAGCTGAGAAGAGAAGAAGAAGGGGACTAGCGGTTAGCGCTAAACGGAAAGGGAAAGCGAAGCGGAGAGCGACGAAGCAATAAGCAAGAAGAAGAAGGCAAGAAGAAGAAGAAACTAGAAGCTCCTTTTACCGAAGGCACAATTTCTTTTTCAAGACTAATTTTGCCAACAGTGTCATTTAGAGGCTTCTGACATAGATAAAACATACTCCCTTGTGTTGATTAGTCTATGCTTCTGATGACTATACGAATGTTTAGTAATTGAAAAATTATTTTTGTTTATAGAATGAAATTATAAATGCCTCAAATTCAATTTTATATTTTTTTATTATGAAATTAAACCTAGAATTGTCATAACCTAACCAAACCAACTAAACTTGTTGATAATGAAAAAAATCCAACACAAAAAAATTGTACTACGGGTGGGATTCGAACCCGGGGCGCCGGGGCAGCTCAGCACTCTATCCACTACACCACCGAGGCCGTTGGCATCAACCGTATCGTCACGGTAATAATGGTATGGTTACTTTTTTATTTTGGATTAATCAAGGCTCAATGGGAAGCATATTCAACAACTTAATTCTATACAAATACTCAGACGGGTTAAAAATTGTTATACAATAAATGAAGACAAATTTAAACGGATAGAAACAATTTGTTTCTAAAAAAAATTACACCTAGAAGAAATTGATCGTAATCAAACAATAAATACCCAAAAATTAAGAAATGACTTAAGAGAAAAAGAGTTTGAAAATTGGAAAAGCTTGAAACAGAAGGGTAAAGGTGTTGAACTTTTCAAGGACTATACTCCGGGAAATAAAAGTATTATTAATAAAGAAGGCTTTTCAGAATCTGAGTGGAAAGACAGTATAAAAATGATTGCAAATGTGGTGCCAGTGCGTGTTCTCCACGGCAGAAGTCAGGGCAATAACCGCTGCAGGCATGCCTGTGGTGAGATTGAAACCCTTGCACATGCCCTTGGCTTCTGTCCGTTTGGTGAACTTCTAAGAAACACAAGGCACCACAAAATAAGAAGTATCATAGCAAATGCCTTCCGAAAAAGGTGTAATACATGGGAAGTGCAAGAAGAAGTACACTGTCTTTCTTCTAACGGAAGCACAAGAAGAGTTGATATTTTATTGATCGAAAGAGAAACTAACAAAGGCATAATTCTCGATCCTACAATTAGATTTGAAATAAACATAAATCAAGCTAACGAAGTAAATGAAGAAAAGAAAAAAAAATTATGATTCTACCTTTGAATATTTCAAACAAAATTTTAAAATTTCGAAAATTGAGGTGATTGGATTGTTTATTGGTTCTAGAGGAACATTATCAAAATTTTTTGTGAACTTTTGGAAACAATATGATTTGGACAGATCCTTTTTGAAAATTATTATTCATGAAACATTAAGAGGTTCATGAATAATAATTTTCTCATTGACCATAATGAGAAATCATCTATATGGCAAATATCAAAATTAATCAGTCTTATAGCTGTATAATCCTTTAATATTTTATGTGTACTATTTTTCTGTGTCTTTGGCAACCTTATTTTTTAAGGCAGAGGTATTTATTTTTATAAATAAATTCTTTTCTCTCCTCAGCCAATCAGAAGCCTCAAAATAATACTGTAGGCAACACTAATCCTGAAATAAAAATTCAGCTTACCGCAGAGCGCTGGGTTCACAACGATATGGTAGGCATTCGGTTAAATATCGAGCTTGTTTTCTACCGGATAACAGACATCGACTTTTTAGTATCGGCTCTGGCTAGTGTGGCTCACCGGCACCGGCTGTCTCATGGTGGAACTGGACGGTGGAAGTAAACTAAAATAAACCTATTGCCTTGGTGCCTTCTGCTGCAGCTGCTCCTATAGCTCCTATGTCCGTCGTCAAACGTCATGATGTGGTATTGACGACGGAAGGCCATAATTTTATTCACAATAGGAAAGGACACAAAGGAACAATGTTGGAATAAATTAAATAACATAATTGAATCAAATATTTTCCTCTCCTTTTAGGCTAGTGCTAGTAGTTTTTGTTGTCTCTGTCTTCTCTCTTCTGTCTGTCGGTGTTGGTTGGTTTGGTTTTTTTTACAAAGTTTTATTTTCAATCCGTTTTACATTTAACAATTAATAAGTAAATACGATGACACGATACGATGAAAAATTGGAAAACATGAGTTAGCAGCTAAACTTGTTTGTTTACGTTTTGGTTGGTTGGTTGGCGCTATGGATGGAAGCCAATCGATTTACGATATTCGATAGTAGTTGTTTTCATACTACGACGATCGATACTTAACCGTATGCCTACAATATCGTTGTGAACCCAGCGCTATCCCCTTTTACCACCCTTTACCGTAGTAGGCCTATATATCACGAACACTAGAAAAATACCGGTATGGATCATAAACATAAACAAATGACGTTGTTGGCCCGAATCCTATACTAATAGCATTGAACATTTAAGTATCGTTTTCGTCAAAATCTTTGAGTTTTGAGTGGATATATTCGTTTTGGGCCCCCCTGGACCCAAAAAAGTGGTTTTCGAAGTAATGTCTGTCTGAGTGTGTGTGTGTGTGCATGGGTCTGGATGTGTACAGAGCTAGGGACTTCACCTGTGGTCCGATTTCGATTAAATTTGGTGTGTAGGTTCTAATGCATGGTATATCCAGAAATTTTTTTCATTTATTTGAAATTTGTATTCTTGATGTTGATTTCCCCATAAAACCTCATAAAATAACGGTAAAATCGGATTTTCTGAAAAATAGCCCCAACGGTTTTGATAAAAATGTAGTATGTTGTAGCCCTTTAAATTCTGAAAAATGTGGTACGACTCCCATTTCTGTAAAAATTACTGTTCAAAAGTTATTGTAAATTATGTTGTTTTCCATAAAAATCCCATAAATTAACAAAAAAAATTAGAAAAAAGCTGCGCGAGTTTTTTTTTTGAAATTTGGATTTTAATGGGGAAGTTCCCAAAAAACCCATAAAGTAACGGGGAAACCGGATTTTCTCAAAAATGGCCCAAACGATTTTCTTAAAAATATAGTATGTTATAATGTAGTCCTTTAAATTCTAAACAAAATTGTAAAAGTCCCATTTCCGTAAAAAATATGGTTCAAGAGTTTTTTTTAACTTATATTATTTTCCCTTAAAAACTCATAAAATAACAACAAAAATCTGATTTTGGAGAAAAGCTAGTTTTGATCCAAATTAATATGTTATCGTTCTTAAGATTCTAAACAAATAGTACTACACCACACGTAATTGCTGTAACAATTACGGTTCAAAAGTTATAGCAACTTTTTGGGATTTTTAAGTCACATATCACAAAATATCAATATATCAATATCTATAAAATATCATATTTAATATCACCGCTTAATTACCAATGATAAATTGATAAAGGTTGTTGAAATTGCTGAATTTTTATTTCAGGATTTATTTTGCCAACAGTGTCACATTTGGAGGATTCTGATTGGCTGAGGGAACATTATTACCGGGACGATACAAATTACCATCATCGGCCACGGTAACATAGTGGATAGAGTGCTGGACTGATAAGCGGGAGGACCGGGTTTGAATCCCCCCAATAGCACTAAAACTTTTTTGTCTAGGGGTTTTTTCATTATCAGCAATTTTGGTTGGTTTGGTTAGGTTATGAAATTTTAATTTTATAATTAAAACATTATAAAATTGAATTTGAGCCATTTATAGATTTATTTTATGAACAGAACTATTTTTTCGATTACACCTTCATTCGATTTTTTATTATCAGCAAGTCTGGTTAGCTTGGTTAGGTTATGACAGTTTAATTTCGTAATAAAAAAATGTTAAAATTTAATTTGAGGCATTTATAATTTTATTTAATGAGCAGAACTAATTTTTCGATCAGTAAACTTTCATTATAGGTCAATTAGAAGCCTCCAAATGACACTGTTGGCAAAATTAATCCTGAAAAACAAATCGTGCGTCCAAATCCAGCCAGAATCATTGTTTTCGAAATGCCAAACCAATTCCAAGAAATAACCATCAACATACAAAACAATGTTTGTTATATATCGATAATGGAAATAACCCCCAGCTCCAAGTGTGGATATTAAGGCAATGGTAAAGCGTTGGCTGATTTTTAAATCGGGCTATAAATAGGTGTTTTGCTTAAAAATATCAACTACTCTTACTAGCTTACTTTGCAGCTGTGGGGTCTCACATGATCGACATCCCAAATGGCTGACAGTGTAAAAAATGGAGGTCGAATCAGTGGATAGTAAACAAGTGTCATAGACAAAACGTACTTTGATATTGTGTCTCTATCTACTCTATGCTACAAACAACCATTGACTACACTACAAAACTTTTTAACTGGTTAAGCTATGTAATTTATCGTAAAATACCCCCCACCGCAGAAAACCTGCCGTCTAAGCAAATTTCCATTTATCTGAATTGATTTTTGATTAAATTTAAATAACATTGTGTTTAACAAGTAACTAAGTTTGCTGCTACAGGTAAACTATAAAAGTGTGTTTTTTATTAAAGTATAAAAATAGTTTAGTATAAAATAAATAAATCTGCCAAGTTTGATTAAAATATATCCATAAACAAGCCATTTACAATATTCTCCATAAGAAGAGCATGGGAATTTTAATCGAACATTTTTTTTATTTTCTCCGTAACCAATAATCCAACAAAAACACTGATATACTAAATTATTTGTTTTTTTAAGCTCTTTAAAAAGGTCTGGAGAAAAGTTGATAAATTTGGTGTTTAAGGGCAACAAATGAGAAAA